TGCTTAGAGCACTCATCCGAGAGGTGGTAAATGCCTTCTCCCCTCAGATGGGAGGGGGAATTGAATCGGGGGCTCTCCCACATCCCTAACCACTGGGCTAAAAACTATGGGGGAAGCACCTCCTCCTCCCAGCTTCTTGTTAAAATGGTGTAGGCACCTAATGCCAAGAGAGGGTTTGCATCTGGGCATTGCAAAAAGCGATAGGGCCTCCCTGCGGCCTGCACTTAGGCACTTATCTCTGAGACATGAGTGGGGCTTAGTACACATTCCTATTGTTGGCATCTCCCATTGGCTAGTTTAGGTGGCTCCCTGCATAGCATGCTGGCTTTTGTGAATCACAGTATAAGATGCCTATTCATTTTATAGGAGCTTTGGTGCCTAACTGAGGCTTTGTGAATCACAGTGATTCTCTAGACACCTAAAAAAGTTAGGCATTATGACGCTGAGCATCACAACGCCTCACTTCTTTTTGTGGACTCAGGCCTTTGTGTGTAGAAACAGCTTTGCACTATTAAGCTGTTAGATGGCAGAACTGAAAACTCCTTAGTCTTCTCTTTGTGTTCATGTGAAGAAAAAAATCCTGTCTGTTAAACTATACTTAAAATGACCGGTAGTATAACAGAGGTAATTAATCTGACTGGAGACCCTCTTGTCTACATGTTTACATGGGACGGTTCAGAAAGTTGAGTGAGAAGAAGGGAATGATATATCACAACCTCTCCTGAATAAAGTTTTTAAAGCTCTAAAGTGGAATGGGCAAGATTTATCAACGCTGCCTTAATGCTTTTCCACATATAATACATACATTGTTAGCTAGCTGATGATGTGCTGATAGGGTGTAACATAAAGCAGCTATTCTTCTGTTGCAGTCCCACTGTAAGCCATGTTAAATTTGAATTATCAGCCTGCAGACTGATATTGTGGGTGGAAAGGGTTTAAATTGAGAAACTGAATTGCTTGTTAAATTTCTTCTAGATAAATGACTGTTCCTTTCCTGTACTTCAGAAAAGAGCTTTGCATTTGACCAAAGCATTTGCAAGAAGGAAGGAATTGAAATTTGTTGATATAGTAAAGCAGTATACTTTGTTTTGTCACTTGTAGAGACAAAACAGGCGCTTCATACCGAATATGAAAAATGAATCTTTAAAGGTAAAGGCAAAACTGTATTTCAAAAGGCTTGTAAGAGGGACGAAAATCAGCCCCTTAATTCTTTTTTCCTTTTTAAATCCTGCCTTGAATGCAAACCCCGAGGAATCTGTGGTTTTGAGTATTCTCCTTCTTATTTGTTATTTCTGTTGTAGTAGCACCTAAGGACCTCAAACAAGGATTATTATATTAGGCACTATACAAAAAATAACATGGAGATAGTCCCTGCCCCAGAGAGCTCACAATCTAGACACTAGGAAACAGGTGATTAATGAGACAAATGTGGGAAGGGAGAAAATAAAGTAGCTATGGGGAGGCACAGTTGTCTCAGTAGTCACAGGTGGCCACTAGCCTAATGCCAGACAGAATTGTTTCTCTCGAGACTCCTGCGCATTATGCTCTCCCCATATGTTTCCTCGTGTAAAATATAATAGCCAGCCAGTTTCTGTTTTATGTTTTACTTACTCTTGCTGTTGTACCTTTGCCATTCTTTTAATGCTGTGTGGCAGTCGAGGAGTCAGTTAGTTAATCACAGAGTGGTTCACATCAGAGTTTATTTTCTATGGGTTCAAACTTTGGTTAATAAAAATACAGAAGCAGCCAAGTTTTCAAGTGTGTGTGTGTGTGTGTGTGTGTGTGTGTGTGTGAACAATAATAGGCAAACATGGAGTATAATAAATCATCTAGTTATAGCCCTGAGGGATCACAATGCCCTTCAACAGAGTTTCCATCTGAAGTTCAGTTATAGGAGCTGGGATTTTATTTCAAAGCACATATCAGAAAAGGCAAATTAATTAGTGTGACGTTTCCAATTGAATAAATGATTGGGAACCAGCTGTGTCTGTGAAATTGCAAGTAAAAATGCAACACTCAGAACTTGTTAATGCTTTTTTTGGCATGGAAAAAGGAGACATAGGTATCTAATATTAAATAGTGTTGCAAAAGGGCAAGTTAGCACTTTATTTGCCAAAGTAACTTTCAAAGACTATCTAGGTTACAAAGTTTGACTTTCTGCACATAAATCTTGAATGATTGACAGACTGCTGTAAAATAGCTTTGTTCAGAAAGATAATCTTTGGCACTCAGCATCAAAGGTTTGAAACCCTGGAAGGGCTGAAAAGAAAACCCCACTTTTAGACTGATTTCCCCTGCAGATCAGCACCTCTGTGAAATTTGCCTGGGAGTTATGAGCTATTTACTGTATTATGATGTTTTCTTTCACTGTATGCACAGGCACCTTTTGTTCTTTTTATCTCCAAGATTTGGGGATTTATTTATTTATTTAGCACATGAAATGTCAATGAGCGAATGCATTGATGCAACATGAGGGAAAAAACCCTGATGTTAGACAGTTCTATTCACCTTTATTTTATTGCAAGTTGGAGTGTTGGTTTTATGGTACTTAAATTTATGGGTACATATTTTTATGGTAAAGCCCAATGACATGTTCAGTGTGCTCCATCAAACTGTCTGTGTTTCTGTGTTTGATTCACAACTCTGCAGGGTATGAATCAGTCTTCCAGTATAACCTTTAATCACTTTTTTTAACCTAAATAATGTAGTGTGGTTTTTATTTATGGCCTGTGTCATCATCTAATTATGTAAACCTACCTAAAGAAACAGCAGATGGAGTATTTCCCTAAAAACTCTTGTCAGCTATCGATTGACTCAGAGGACAAAGTTTCTTTATTGGGTCCAATCTGCTGAGACAGAAAATTCACAGGTAGCTCACAGCATATTTAAATCTGTTCAAAGCCAAGTTGCAGGCGTGATTGATATGGGCTTGAGGAATGAAAGAAAAGTGGCCCAGTAGGGCAGGCTCTTTTAAAAATTACACTTATTTGTTACTTTATAGTGAGAATCCCCTTTATCTGTTGACCATTCAAGCCCTACTTTCTGTGTGCAGTAGTTAAAACAGAATGGACAGGAAGCTCTTATGCCCTTGTTTGTTTTCTACAGGGTGAAGTGAAGAAGTAAAGTCTCCCCGCTGAACTACTATGAGGTCAGAAGCCTTGCTGCTATATTTCACACTGCTACACTTTGCTGGGGCTGGTTTCCCAGAAGATTCTGAGCCAATCAGTATTTCGCATGGCAACTGTAAGTATGAAAGACCTGGTGCTTTTTTCCTCCCCCAAGCTCCAAGAAGGAATGTATTGATCACTGAACTTCAAAATTACACAGTTTTAGCTGATCTGAAATGAACAATGTTTTTTATTTCTTGATGGCTCTTCAGATCAGCCAGATTACATTCCCAGATGATAAAACTAGAGCAGAACACTTCTGCCCTGACTTGGGTTTTCAGAACTGATGAGCTGCTTGCTCCTCCAAAACCATAACCTAGAATACTCTTCAAACGGGAGTTTCTGCAGTGCAGTCAGTCCACAGTTTCCCATTCTACCCAACAACAAATGAAGAAAGCTTGTTTTTCATGAGCAGAGAGTTTTTTACCTGACTCCCCAGAAGCAAAGTTCTGGAGAACCAACCAAGTCCATATATCAGGTGTAGCTCACTAATGTAGCTGTGTTGAGGACATACCATTGAAATGATTTTTCTAGAACTACACAAATAACAAGATTTGTTTGCTCAGCCTTTGATGAATCTTTGTCCCACTTTACCATTTGGCATTTTGGACAGTAAAACTGTTTGTAAGATTCTGACAAAAACATTTTGATGAAAAGGCTAAATTTTTGCAACAAATATTCTCCATTTTCTGACCTGCTTTAATGGGGACTCTCTCTGAGACTAGACTAGCACAGGGTGCTGCAAGTCAGGATCAAGATGGCCTGGCTGGACTAGGTGAGAAAGCATGCACTGCATTTGACCACCTAGCTCAGACCCTCAGTATTATTACCGAGTTCCTCTTTATCATGGTTATCACAGTTCAATCACAATTATTCCAAAAAAGCCTTCTGGGGGCTAAATTCACAAGGGGGACTTAGGCATCTCACAGCCCCTTTAGTAGCCTAAGTACAACAAGCAGGTGCCATTGGCATTCACACAATCCCCACCGTAACTCTGAAGGTACCTAGGCATCAAAGTTTCCACTTGTGAAATTTATGAGGTGCATACATTTATGCCACGAAATCTTACACTGTCCAGCACCTTGGTATCCAATTCACACCTGTGCCCCAGTGAGTTTACAAAGTAGGCATCCTCCCCGCCTGTATGGCCCAATCCATTAGGCATACACATAGCCCAGACAAGAAACAGGGATTTGAACACAGAGCTCCTCCTCGCAAGTGAGTGCTGTAATTTCTGGGCTCTCTCTCCTGTTGGAGCTATTCCACTTTGTATAAATAATTCAATATTCAATAGTGTAGAGACTTGAACTTGAGTCTCCCCCCTCCCAGGTGAATGCCTTCCAGGCTATAGAGTCATTACCCCACTCTCTCTGGCCCAGGAGTTTTTAATTAGTTTATACAAAATGGAACAGTGTCAACAGGAGAGACTGAGAGAGACCCACCCCAGAATACCCAGTGGTTAGGGCACTCTCCTGGAAAGTGCGAGAACTGTATTCAAATTCCCCTCTGTCTGATTTGAACCAACGTCTCCCATCTCTAAGATGAATGCTCTAACCCCGGAACTATTGGATAAAAGGGTGAGATACCATCTGACAAGCAGTTTTTCTTGGGAAAGGGCTGACCTGACTTAGGTACCTAAGTCCATGAGAGGGTTCACAGCCATGAATCCTGAGGGGAGATAGGCATTTCCCTCTGGCCCAGACTTAGGCACCTAACTCCTTTTGAGGGGCAGGGCTTAGGCCTCTCTCCTCAGCATTTCCTACACGCCAGGGATGAAAGTAACATTAAGCACTTATCGATATGGGGCCCCGGCCTTGGGCAGAAGGGGCGGGGCTGTGGGTCAGCCTCCCCCAGCCAGCCCATCCATGCTGCCTGGCCCATGCTACCCAGTAGCAGCGGCGGTGGCAGGGAGCCCTGGGCTCTTTTAAATTGCCAGCTCCGGAGCAGCTGCCCCTTTTGCCCTGTTGACTGGGTGGGGGACAAAAGGGGCAGCAATGATAAAGCACTGCCACAGTAGCACTTTAATGTCAGCTGCGTATGGGCCGGTACCAGCGGCCACTTCTTACCGGTATGCCGTACCAGCCCATACTGGCCTCCTTTCACCCCTGCTACTGGCTAGCTTAGCTGGCAGACTGCTCAGCTTGCTGGCTTCTGTGAATCCCATTTTTACGTGCCTAACTCTCCCCACACATTATATAGAAAGCCTTGGCGCCTCACTTGGGGCTGTGAATTCCACTTGGTGACAGGGCACCTCGAAGTTAGACACTGCAACAACTAAATCCCCCTTGTGAATCTAGCCCTGGTGTTCAGCACTTGTCAGGATTGGCACCTGCATTTGTAAAAGTGTGATTAAGGAATGGCAAGTCAGCAATCTTAACCCCTCTGCAGAGGAAAATATGTGAAACGTCTATTTCTATGTTATGAATGTCAAATGGCTGCAAACATACAGGCCTCAGTTCACACAAGGGCAGTCAGTTACAAAGGAAGCAGTGTTGGACAGAGGAAAGGAAAGCTGGAATGTTAAAAATTAGTACTTCTCAAGTAAATCTTGGTCAGGAAGATTAACCTTCTGAACCTCAATCCTCTGTGAGTTTGGTTAATTTATTTACCCAGAAATGCTCTGCTCAGATGCGGCATCTGGATTGCAGGGAAGTTCCTGTTTGTACCAAATTTTACAACTGGGCTAACTAAGACACAAAGTGATTTGCCCAAGCCTACGCAGTGAGTCAGTAGCTCAACCAAGATTAGTACCAAAGACCCTCCTAAAGAGAGTTCACCGAGAAAATTAAAGCAGAATATCTACAATAAAAACCCCCGTCCAAGGTAGCGCTGTTTGTTTGGAGCAAACAGATTTCGGGAGAAAGGGCTTAATGCTTGATTAGATGCCAGTTAACTGCATTATGTGAATGTGCAGGATTTCTGCCTTCCGATGCTGCTCCTACTCATAGTCTCGTTTTCTTTCTGTTTTCTGGGCGTCTTTCTGATTGCTTTCCTGGGAGCTGCTTAGTTGGCTGGCTTTTACATCTAGAGACATGCATTGCAAATGCATCAGACAGACAGAAACTCTGTCAGAAATGTTTTCTGGGTGTCTATTATAGGATCTACATACAGATTGTATATAGATCCCATCAGTGCATGTTGACTTCCCAGCAACGAGAGCTCTGGAATATAATGAATAAGTGCTCTCACTGACTGTCAGAGTTGGGGAAAAGGCTGAGTGGCTACTGGTACAGACTTCCAATCAGCATTATCATCTGGCTGCCAGGAAAACTGATGTATCAGACAGGTTGCCAAAAATAAATAAATACAACCAAAAACAGTCAGGTTAAATAAATAAATAAATAAATAAATGAAGGACAATTAATGGCTACCCACAGCTTCTACAAAAAATACAGCTGCCCTGCACTAGCAGCCCAATCCGGTAGGAAACCTGTGACGCTGGCAATTTTATACCTAGTAATGCCAAGTCCTTAGTTCTAACCACTAGCCAGCGTAGCCATTGCAGTGACAGGTAAGTTACTATAAAATAGTGGGTTTGACCCTCTTTTATTTGTGGACCCCTAAAAAATTTCAAATGGAGATGCGGCCCCCTTTGGAAATCTTAGACATAGTCTGCGGACCCACCGGGGTCCATGGATCACAGGTTGAAAACCACTGTACTGTGGTAATGACAACCTTTCACAGACCCTTTAGACATAGTCTGCGGGCCTCCGGATGTCCATGGACCACAGATTGAAAGCCACTGTATACTATACCATAACATAGTTTTGTCCTGAAAGATAAACTTTGGCAGGCAGCATCCAGTATTTAAAACACTGCAGGGGATGAAAGGAAAACTGTGTGGAAGTGCTAAGTACCTTTATGCCAAGAGCTCTCAGAGCAGTTTTATGCTCTCAGAAATCACAGTTTTTCATTTCTAAAAACATAATGGCTTTCTCCTTGACAATTGCAAACAAAGATTATAACCTTGATGAGCTATGCAATCCACTGTGCTATTACTTCAGTACCCCAGGCTGTATGGTGGGGAGAGACAGCAAGAGCAGGAATTATAGATTTTGGCAGTGGGTTTGGTAATATGATTTCATAATGTGAGTGTCTCTCTGTCTTTTTGCTTTCTTTCTCCCAATCCCTTTCCCTTCTCACAGATACAAAACAGTATCCGGTGTTTGTGGGGCACAAGCCAGGACGGAACGCCACACAAAGGCACAGGCTGGACATCCAGCTGATCATGATAATGAACAGAACCCTCTACATTGCTGCTAGGTCTGTAGTGTTTTCCTAATTCCCTTCTTGCTATTCCTAGAAAAAATTGATATTCTGAGTTGATCTCTGCCAGACATTTATTTTAGGATTTTATCACACACATTGGTCTTTATAGTCTATCTGTGATACATCTTAAAAGCTACATTAGTTTGTCATCTTGGGCTCAATCCTGCAAGGCGCTGAGCAGCTTCTGGGGGTGCTGGCTATCTGCAGCCCCCATTAAAGCCAATGGAAGTTGAAGGGACTCACAAGGACTTGGAGGATAGAGACAGAATTATTATTTCCTTAAAGGAGTTTGTGATTTTGTTTGAGCACACAATTAATTACATATTTTGGAGAACAAACACAAATGATCCACTGTGTGCATAAGTACATATTTGAATAAGAGTAATTAAACTTTAATGTTCTAGGCATATTTTATAGTAAAACCAAAAAAAAAAAAAAAGCAGAAGAAATATGTTTACTGCTTTTCTTTTGATGTACTCCATGAGGTTAATTGAATGTCTTTTCTGCATCTTTTTGCTAGACAGTTATATTTTTATATACACAAACACATGCATTTATCTGAGAAGGCTTATAAGGCCAGCTCCTTAGTCGGTGTAAATTGGCATATCTCTGACAATTTCATTGGAACTATACCAATTTTTAACAGCTGCAGACCTGGTGCATATTATATGTAAATACTCATTCTCCCATATGTTTTTGGCTTTCAGGAGGTCAAAACTTATTGTTATTACATAAATGTCACAGAATGGTACCTAAATACCATGCTGATTGGCACATAAGAAAGAATATATTCAGGGAGCAGATGGGTTAGAGTCATTGATTGATGGATTGATTGATATGCCAAGGAACAGAATTGTTGAGTAAGAAGGTGCCATTTTTACACCGTAACTGCACTTTCAAGTTGCTTCTCATTATGCCTAGACATTGGAGGAATCTGAAGATTTCACTGCAAAGCTCAGTTTCTGACAAACTCTTCATATATATGCTTGCATTTCTCACATGTCCTGGAGATTTTGGGTCCGCAGTTCTCTGCTGGTTTCCTATGATCTTTCCTTTCCTTTCCTTTCCTTTCCTTTCCTTTCCTTTCCTTTCCTTTCCACAGCAAGTACTCTCCAAGGCCAGCAGTCCCTAGAAAAGGATGCACAGTCTTAGAGCTATGGCAGAGTGGGGAGTAGTGTTTTAAGTTAAGAGCATATATTTTCAAAACAGGGCCATTTTGTCTTTTTCCCCCCTTACCCTTTCCTCAGACCTTTCCCATACATCATTGTGCTGATCCTCATGCGTGCTCCAGCCTATTACAAAATATTCCACGCCATGCTTCTGTAACATTCCCAATTCCTGTCCACAAAGCATTAAAAGATTATCAAGTCTCAAACTCAGATATTCTGCATTGCAGCCTGTTGCACTCAAGAAAGGACTAGATAACCAGGCCAGCCTTTAATTTTCATTAGGGGCCAACTCCTGGGAAAGAGTGCCCAGCCCAAATAAATAGATGGTCATAGGCAGAGGACTAGAATCCTCAGCTTCAGCTTCTATAGCACTGCTATAGCACCTCCTACACTGCCCAAACAGGTGACAGTTTCTACTATAGGTTTGGGATGGGCGCAATGGATGTGATTTATGCTGCCCCATGTAGTATTTTGGGCAACAGGATCCATGTTATGCATGCAACCACTGTCCATGCCTCCCACCGAACAACTTCACCTTCAATTATTCTTCAAAGAACAAGTGTGGAACTTGGCTCAATGACACAGAGACTGTGCAGAGTCTCTCAGGGAGAGTGCTCCACTCTTCACCTTCCCATGAAAACATAGTACCTGTGTGGTTACATGCATGTGGGGGAGCCAGAGGGATGGCAGGATTTACTCCTTAATGTAATTTTTCATGGGGGAATTGCCTTATTTTTTTGTGTGTGTGTGTTTGTTTTCTTTTTTAAATTGGCAGGTTATTTGCAATGTGACAATTAGAATTAGAATTAGAAATGTGAATCTGCTTGGTGGATTAAAATATCCAAACATTGTTCCCAGACTAAAATGTTGATGCAAATATTAACTTGTAATCAGCAAGCTACATGCCTCCGCTGCACACTGATGCTACAGTTTGAAAAAGAATCTGAACTTTTCGTGATGGCAAATTACAATTCACAAATTACAGTTCATTTTTAAAAAATGAATTGGTTCCTTAGTCTGTGTATGTGTAATATATACCATATTTGTGTATGAGTGTGTGTGAATGTGTATATATAAAATATTATATTATATTCAAATAGAGAAGTGCTTCGACATTATTGGGGACAAATGACCTGCAAAAAGAACAGAAAGACGTAATCCATTTTTATTTACACAAGCACAAAAAATCTTCTTAAACGTTTCTTTGCTCCAGTAACTAAAAAACTGTTAAGTAAATTATTTTCCTCCTTAGAATGTTACTGGGAAAAAATCCCTGCTAGGTTGAGAAGCCTATGTGATAAAAGTTAAAATTCAAAAGGTCATTTTTATCTTCAAGTGATAAACTTTTAAAAATGAGTGATCTTTCCATAATTAGAGTGAGTGAAAGTTTATATCTGTAACACTAATGGTGGCAATAAACTGAGAGACTGAAGCAAATGTGAACACAATCAAAAGTGTTTATCAAAGAGCTTCATAACAGGATTAATTGAATCTGTATTTAGCATAAATCCCTTAGCTACCATATCAGATGCTTCTTTTAAGTTGTTTTCTGGGTGTCTAAATATAGTGATACTAAGTTTACATTTGTACCCAATTATCTGAAAAGCAATGAAAACAAATGATTAAACATAGAGGTTTTTAAGAAAATCCAGTGCTCACTGTTCGCTTTGCAGTTAATTTCCCTGGAAAAAAGGACAAACTAATTTCAGAGACAGCTAACAGTTTACTACTGGATGTCTGGCATACAACAAAATCTGTTTGTCAGTTGCCTGTTTTGTCAAATAGGATATGGGGATTTATATAAGAGTTTTGTACTAACTATTATTAAACACTTTTTGTGGGTTTTGAAAGATTTCAGTGCAAATTATGGGCTGGATATTCAGCTGATGTAAGTTCGCATAGCTTCACTGAAGTCAATGAGGCTAGAGCAGTACACCAATTTACATCAGCTGAGCATCTTTCCCAGGGGCATAATTTGCTATCGGACAAGCGGGGCAGTTGCCCCTCCAGACCTTAGTTTGCTCCTCTCAGACTTTTCCTAGGCCTGTATGCTCCAGAATATCTTCCACTTTTTGCCCCTCCCCCAACTTTGCAGGGTACAATACAATCATAAATTATTTTCTGTGCTGTCACAACTTTTCCCGTCTCTTACCCCCAGCTGAGTTTTTCTGAAATGTTGCCCCTGAGCTGTCCCTCTGGATATGTAACAGAATAGCAGCATTTTCTTCTTCCCTCAGAGGGTGCAGGTTTGCACACACCTTTCCTGAAGTTCACTGTGTCATCTCTTCCTGCTGACTTGTTTGGTGGTTGCTTTTGTTCCCATGATCTGTCACCTCCCATATGTATGCACAGAATGGTTCATTGAGCCTCTGCAGTACCAGAGTGCAGTTACACATTTCCAGACATTGCACTGAGTGGCCAAGGGTCATGCACAGCCAGCAGCATTATTTAAATTCCCTTCCTCCACAAGATTATACCATGGCAACAAAATTCAGTTCTGCTGACGAGGTGGGAAAACGGAAGCACTAGGATTAAGTCAGTTTGTGTTAGAATAACTTAATTAGCAGAGAACTGTACACATACCACAGCCAGTAGGCAGTATTGGGGCAGAGAGGGCAAAACAGTCCGTTAGTATCTATAGTGCCTTTCACTAGACAGTTCTTTTAATTTTTGCCAACACTGTGGGCAACTGTGCGTTAGATACAGCATGCGGAAATGGTTTTAGTTATCCTGAAATCAGATTTCATTGACATAATTCCATAACTTGGTGTCTGAATTCTCCTATGACACTTTGGCAAGCCAGAAAGTAAGTCGCTTACTCACTTAAGTCGCTCAGAAGGGCCACGGTGTGAGTGATGCTAAGTAACACAAGCCTCTTTCTGAATTTCACCCATTTATTTTTACTGGGTTTTTGTTGTTGCTAGTTTGTCTTTTTAAAAAGAAATCCACAGCACTAAAATGATAATTAATGTAAAGAGTTGTGCCAGAAGGGGGCCAATCAGAACACTTTTTCAGGTGTTGCCAATGCATAATAATCAGTCAATTTACAATTCAGATTCTTGGTTTCTACTTTTATGTAGTAGCCCCAACTGCAACTATGAAATATATATATATATATATATATATATATATATATAAAGAAGTAACATTGCCATCTAAAAAGCTGATATGCTAATATGTAATTTTATTCTGACACTGACCCTGATCATAGGGAGAAAAACACCTCCTCAGTTTGGCATCTTACAAAACAAACTGCCTCAACTGCAGTGGCAGACAGATTTTTTTTTAAAGCCAGTTTCTATTAACAATGCTGCCCCTTTTCTCCATGTGAGAGAAGTGTTGCTTATTTTCATCTTACAGCAAAGAGTGTTTCTGTCTGCTTTAGTTAGAAGCTAATATTGTTTCTCTCAAACTCGATAAAATGAAGCTAATCTTGACAACAGAGGCTTCTAAAATGGAAACAATCTGTATCCTACTTTCAACAGACTCCTATATAGCCCCCTTTTAAAGCTATGAATCGTTTTCTAGCCACAAGACTTCCTGCATTTTTTAAAAAGTCATTGTTATTTCAAGGAAAAATTAGATGTTGGGTGTTTTTCACCCCTCCTGCCCAATTTGGTGTGGCTCTTTCAGGTGTTTTGTTTTCTTTTTTAATTCTGTGCCCCGGTCAAAAATGTCTCTGTGCTCCACTCACACAGAAGGGGACTGCTTAAAAATATCCCCTCACCTGACTTTCTGAGTCTGTTTCCCCTTGCTCAGGGAAGATTGGTAGCTAATTGTAGAGAAACCCAGGTTCTCAGCAAAACAGGAAGGTGAGCACAGGCGAGATTTAAACTTCTTTTGAGGGTGAATTTTAGAGTTTAATTTGGCCATCAGTGTGTGAAGAGAAGACCAATTTTGTTGCTGTCAATTTTTTCCCTTCCATATTGTCAATCAAATCATTACGGCTGAGATTGGAGGTATAACTTTAAAAAAAAAAAAAAAGCATTAACCTCAGATGACTAAGAATGGCATACTGAATACCATCCCAGGAAGCTGGTAAAGGTTGCCTAAATAGGATTGCAGTTGATATAAAGATGCACAAAAACATCTGCCCACCAGCCCCCAGAGATGAGGAACTAGCCCCCTTTCTTAAATCTCATTCATACAAATAAGATACTGGGAAGAATCTTGAGTTAGCTTTTTAGAATTTCTCTTCTTTCTAATTGAAAAGCAAAGCAGTTTATGTACAGTGGAGCATTCTCAGAAGAAGCAGACCAAGCAATCAGTAGTGTTCTCTTGTATAGTGTCTATTCTTTTTTTTTATTGTATAAAATAAACTGACTAGTGCTTTTGACTTTGCATTGATTTACCTTTGTTTACAGGGACCATATTTATACTGTTGATATGGACACATCACATACAGAAGAAATTTATTTTAGCAAAGTAAGTAGCTTTTTATCATCCTGAAACTAAAGGCACTAGAAAGAACAGAGAGTAAATAGGAAGTGGGCATTGTTTCAAACAGCTTTCCAGCATTGCTGTAAAAATTGTACTAGTCAAGTAAGGTGGAATTGCTAGTCATATATGGGGAAAGCTGGAATAGCAGTCATGACCTCTGTGAATTTCTTATAAGCGATTTAGCTAGCTTGATAAGCAGCCAGTACCGAAATACACTGAGCTCCCTGGAATCCATCAAACATCTATTCATTGATATTATGTAGCTTTCTATAATTGCTATACTATACCAATTAAGAATACTAAAAATCTCATCATAAAAGGCAAAGTCTAATATATTTTCATATACACATTAGTCAGTCATGCCAGTATGCAGTAAATAAAATCTTATTATAACATCATGCTATAAAGTGTTGTAAGAAAAACCACATTACATTCACAGGAAATTATATCCAAAATGGGAATAGTTTTGCTTGCATTGCTCTCCTCTTTATTGTGTGAATGTTTCTAGAAATGACCTCCCACCACTTTCGTCATACTGATTGGCACATGGCATACCCTATATGCAATATATGGTATTCATAGAACAGCGGGGTGAATTTCACCTCAGGAAAGGAAAAATGGGCATGTTAAATCCATGAATGATGCCATAGATGAGTTTATGACATGATACTCATACTAAAATGAGGTCACAGAGCAGCAGAGGAAAGAAAAACTAGTGTTACATCCATGGGCAGTGGGTGAATCCCGGGCTCGGGGAGGCTAGCCCCCGGCCCAGCCCACCCCTTCTGCCTGAGGCCCCACCCTCCTTCCCCCGCTGAAGCCCAGAGCTCCCATCAAAGGGGAAGGGCAAGTGGGAAGGGACCTCGGGGTGGAGCATGGGCAAGGCCACATGGGCTGTTTCAGGAACCACAGCCTTCCCCAGCCTATTATACCCACCGCTCATGCTTACATCCATGAAAAATGTGTTAGTGAAGGACTGTTAATGAATGAGCACTAACTCAATTCATTAAATGGAGCTGTCAGGTCAAAGCCATGATTATTGTTATAAGAGTGTTAGTATTTTAAGCTAGGGACTTTTTAATGAAGTTTTACTATAATTATTCAAATCTAATACACTCAATTCAGGGCCTAATTGATGGCAATATGTAGGGTCGGGAAGGAATTTTCCCCCAGGTCAGATTGTCCATGATCTTTTTTGCCTTCCTCGCCATGGAAGTTGTGGGCAACCTGCAGGGATCACCCAGGTGTATCACACTTAATTCCCTGCCCTGTCATGGGGCCTCAGGCATTGGTGCACCTCCCATTCTCTGCCTCTGGCACATAATAGTCTAGTCTCCTGTGGGCTGTAAAGCAAAATACTTTGCTTTAATTTCAGTTGTTGGGTTAGTGTGCAGATGCTGGGTGGTATTGGTGGCCTGTGATATACAAGTAGTCAGATTAAATGATTTGGTAGTCCCTTCTGGCTTTAAACTCTATAACTCAGCTACTTGGCAAGTTTAACATAACTTCATAACATGGTGTATCTAGATTTCGGTTCATAGAGGAATGAAAATCCAATATGGGATTTACCTATAACTGTTCCAGGGAAACAATGTTAGAAAATAAAACCTGTAGTACTTTGATAGCTAGAGGATATCTGAGTCTATTAGCTAATGTGAAGTAAGGAGAATAACCTGAATTGGATTTCTTTGCTCATCTGAACTGGACTGTGCCAATGCGTATGCTTTGGCTTGATAACTAATGAGTTTATAGTCCATTTGCAACAATTTGCTTTGCAAAACAACATCAAATTAAAAGAAATGATGAGAAAAGAAAAGTCTTTTTTAAAAGTGCATATATTTTTAAAAATTGGCAAATTACTAAGTTCACATGTTTGCAGGCTTTAGAAGGTGAGATGGGTTTCTAGTTTAATGAATAGATAGCAACAGAAAATTAAGTGAATGTTCTACATCACTGATCTTTCATTGTTATGGTGAATTAATCATGGAGAAAGGGTGCAGAAAGCTTTCAATAAATATATGTTCAGCAGCTAGTCTCCCCTAGGGAACTCTTACTTCTGAAATCAAATGCAACAACCTTTGGGCTCTAATTGATTTCTTTCTTGATCCTTGCAGAAACTGACATGGAAATCTAGACAGGCTGATGTAGACACATGCAGAATGAAGGGAAAACATAAGGTAGGCAATTTTCATTTCTCCTGCAGCTGCCACTTTAGTTTAGTTTCTTAACTATTATCTCAGACTGCTCTCTGTCATGTGGAATGGATCATGCCATTCACTTCTTTGCTAGTAATTGCTTTTTCCATCAACTTACTGAAGTCTTTAATTTGCAAAAATAGTTTGCTTTTAATGTGATGAAACATTACGACAGCAGCTGCAGTAACATCATGAAATACTTAGAAGCAGTGGGAATTATGGACACAGTGCTAAGTGTACTGACATTGCTTAATGCTGCCTCCTATAGCTAAACACTGTTGTCCATTCTCCATTGGGAGTTAACTGAAGAGCTCATAAAAAGCCATAATACAAAGTGTGTGTTTGTAGATGCAGAAGAACTGATTCTGATCTCACCCTAATTTTACACTAGTGCAAACACTGACTAACATTAGTCAGCTCACAATCAGGCCCAGAGTTTCTGGACCTGATTTCCATCAGTTTTACTTTAGTGCACTGCACTGAATAAATTAGTGTTACTACTGTATTACAGCAATATATCCGAAAGGTCCTCAGTCTTGATTAAAGCAACAAAGTTCAAACAAAATTCATGAACAATAATGAAGTCTGAACTGTAATGTAAATAAAATGTCCTCAGTTCCTAGCAACTGTGTTGAAACAAATGGAATGAAAATTCATTGTCTTGTTCACTGTCAGTTAAAAAATTGTGAAACTAAAGCCCAGAATGTCACAGTGGCTACTAGCCAGCTTCATTTTAGCCCTGACAATGAAAGATCATGGCACAAGAATAAAGCCAAACATTTGTAATATATTGGGTAAAATACTTTTTATTATTTTTCTTCAGGATGAGTGTCATAATTTTATTAAAGTCCTCCTGAAAAGAAATGATGATACCTTGTTTATCTGTGGAACAAATGCCTTCAACCCTTCTTGCAGGAACTATAAGGTAGGTGTTATGTTTAGGAGATTGCAGCTGTGCGCTGAGAAATTTAACTATTTATTTTGACTGTGTGGTTGGCAGCATAAAATGTATCATTCAACATTACATAGTTTATCCTCACTTGTTTGACTTCTTCAGCATTCTATATGTGGAATCTTGATTGGGTTTCTACGATTTGCCTGGATTGATATAGACACCTCTTTGCAACCTCTACACATAAAAGTATATTGCTACTTGATCTTATCCTTCTCAGTTGTCTTGAACAATAACTTACAGCTCACTGCAAAAACATGGGCTAGTCCCCTGAACCTTCTTAAGTAAAAAGTTTACTACTGACACATCTCAAAGTACAGGCCTCATGCTGAGGATTTCTCATCCATAAACCATTTTGAATCTGGCTGTTGTGTTGTGCCCAATCCCAAAGATACTAGCCTAGACACTTAGGGGCTTAGCATAGTGGAAACTATGCATTTTTTGCTGCATTGGTATTTGGGGACCCAATTAGTAGGGAACCTGTGCAGGACTCTACACACTTCTTCATTCTGTGAAAGTGATTTCAGCAGTAGACTGCTACAGGGAAATGCAGAGGGGGAAAAGAAATGGGGTATCTACAAGGTCAAAACATCATATAGAGATTAGGAGCAGGCTGCATTAAACAACTGCCCATCTGCCCTGCTAATAAACCACATGTTAGAGCTGAAGATTCCTTCCCTTAGCCCAATTATGTGCCAGTGTTTCTGCATTCATGCAAAGCCCATTTATTCAACCTTTGTCCATTGTCTGAGGAGTAGGGTTTTAGGCCCTGATCCAGACCCCACTGAAATCAATAGGAGTTTTCCAATTGCTTTAATGGGAGTTAGATCAGGGCCTTAGTATTCAGCCTAAGAGCAGTGTACTCTTTTAGAATCTGCCTTTGTCACAAGGTGCATTTCTAACCTTTCTTTGGAGAGGGAGAAGATTCAGTTACTACTGATAAAAAGCCTACTCCTGCTCATATAGTAGTCAATGGCAAACCTCCCTTTACTTCAAGGTACAGGATCAGGTCCAGGATTATTGTAAGAAGTGTCCTGAAAACAAACTGAAGATATCAACTGCCAGGAAAGCAACTACAGCAGTGATACACAGTATTACCCTACTTCTCACCATCCTTCCTCTGCCATGCTGGTTTAGCCCCTGCAATGGCTTTAGCCTGGAAGGTACATCAACACATGTGCAGAGCAGCAGCACAGTCTTCTCTATAGCTCTGTGTTAATTATATAGTGCAGATACCTGATATGAGGAGTACTGAAATTAGAACAACCGGTCTGGTTAAAAAAAAATCTCTCTTTTTTCCCCTTCCCTTATCCCCAACCTCCCATCCACATCATGTTGCCAGGTTTCCTGTTTCCAGTCCTAAGTTTAGTTTTCTGTTTGTCATTGCTTAGTGCTCAGTACAATTAATGCTGCTAACAAATTCCTAGGAGTCCCCTTGCCGGAAAGCTATTTTTTAGTACAAATACGGATTTTCTTGGCATCCTAATGTGAGGATCCTTTCTGCAGATGTTTCATTCCCCATGATATATGGCCCATGCTGATTCCCTCAGCTGTTGCTATGCTCTGAGAGCCTGCACGGTGATGTCTCTTGGGGCCTACAGAAGGTCACTCTGACACCTGCACTGACTTTCCCTGACTGTATTTCAGGGATTACAGATGGCACCAGGGCACTTGAGATATGCCAAACTGAAGATAAGGCCATCCCTCAGCACTGTAAAGTGAAAGTACAGATGACCCTGGAATGTTGTGCTCCTTGCAGAGGGAAGGAGCTCTGGAGCATAGCTCATTTGCTTTCACCATCACTTTAAATGCTTTCCCATCCTAGAGTAAACACAACTGATTCCCTTCAGAAGGTCTTGACAGAAAAGATACATGACAGAAAACAAATGATGACAAATCATCCATTGAATGAATTAGGTTTCATAACATATGAGCTTAAAGTTGATTGGGGTAGCTTGATGGTGCTAGATGGATTATTTTTCATGGTCTATGATTCTGAACTCTGCATTTGATTTATACAGTGTGTACTGTTGAAGTGAGTTAAATATGTTAGAAGGATTTTACCCCAACATACAAGTTATTGATGTAGCCTGATCCTTTTGAATGGTTAATAATAATTGTATTGATTGCCAATTAATACTAATGAATGAGCTGGAGGGGGGATAATAGTGTTCTCGTCCCAGAATCAGGCTCCACAGAATTAAAACTGACAAGTTCAATATCTTGTAGGGTACCTCAGGGTGAATGGCAAAGACACTCACACTGAGAATAAAGCAAAGCCTTTGCTATCTTTATTAAAACAATCAGTAAAGACAAAAAACTCCAAACCACATAAACAAATAGCTGTAATACAGTATTATTACTGTATTACTGTAATACAGGTGTCATTCCCTGCATATGCTCACATTCTTATACTCAACCCTTCCTTGGGGCTCTGGGGGTGAGAGACAAAGGACGAGCCCTGTCCCTGGCATGCCAGGATAATGGTCAGTGGTAGATAACAATGAAGAGCTAAAGGATGGAAAGCTAGCCCCTGCTACATGGTGGCTTAGCCTATTATAGGACCTGGGCACTCTCACAGATATTCACTCTGATGCTCAGCCTTCCATGTCCAAATCTAACTTCCTCATCCTCATAATATTGGGATGCATTTATCCTATAGGTTAACATATTAATGCCATTTACCTCTTTATCATATACGTCACCTATTGCTCAAGCAAGTTGGTGATTAGACATCTGCCAACAATTGTATCCTAAAATATCCAGGCCCAGTATCGGTTCAGTATTCCTGCATTTGCCTGGTATTATGTACCAACTCCCTCTCTTGAGCAAGCTATTCCCACTTCCCCAAAATCTAGGGTAACTGTCAGTCCATTTTATCTATGCTTAGGGGCATGGGCCTATTTTACTTATTCTAACTTACTTATGCCAATGTCTTACAGGATACAGGCCTGTAGGTTCCTTGCATTACTGAAAAGTAAAATAAAATGCTAAGCTAGCTCTGTGGGCTACACTGCTGATTAATCTTGCCAACTATAATATATGAGTCTTAAACATGTGGGATCTGCACCTTTACGTGTAGTTTACTAAAAACCCTTGAACTTCTGCATGAGGTTGAGCTGGTTATTTGTATAATTACCTGTACCTGGTGGTGAATTAATTTCCTAGGGGTTACACTTAAGCCTAAGATTTTAGAACTACCGCACAGATTAATTCTTGCTTGATGGTAAGAGAGTTGCTATATGACACAGGCCCAGTAACACCTGGAAAGTGGTCCTTTCCAACATGCAAATCAGAAAAGAGAATAGCACAGTTTTGACTACCCCAGATAGTGCCCCAGCTTAAGAGGGAGAAAAAATGCACACATACAAAATTACCTTGTGCTTTTCCTCTCACTTGTATGGGTTGCAGGCTATTGCTCTGGATAATAGTACTTCTGTTGCATCATTTTGAGGATAACATCTGAATATTTTCCAGAATCACAGACCGCATAGCCCATTACAGTTCAACAGGAAACCCATGTACAGAGAAAATATCAGCTGAATACTTTTGTAAAATGTAATGGGGGTAAGAACGAGAAGCTTTAAAGGATGTCTGACTTACTGGATACTCTTTCATAGATTGATTTTATGCAATGCTATAATTTTGCACTGTTCTTAACTCATAGCCAAAACCACTGCTACAAAAAGGAACTTCTTCCCTGCTATGAAATGAATAGTATCATAGGTTTTGTCCTGGGTAATAAGTTTAATTTTTTTATTCTGAAGAGATTCCATTTTTTTTTTCAGATGGAGACACTGGAGTTCCTAGGAGATGAGTTCAGTGGAATGGCCAGGTGCCCCTATGATGCAAAACATGCCAATGTTGCACTGTTCGCAGGTAAATAAGGAAAAGTGAGACTAACCCATTCCTTCCCTTCTTCCAGGTCTTGCTTGCCATTATACAATATCCCTCCCATACAAAATGACACTTTTAAAATGTGAGAGACAAGATGGGTGAGGTAATACCTTTTATTGGACAAACTTCTATTAGTGAGAGAGACAAGCTTTCGAGCTTACACGGAGCTCTTCTTCAGGTCTCATTTAAAATGTGGCACAGTAAGTGAATAATGACTCAAAATAGGGGCCACAAGAATCATTAGTGCAGGAAACTTCACAAGCTGCTGTATTAACTTCAGTACCATAATCAACATTGTCTAAAGCCTCATTTCCTGATTCATGTTTACTGGATTCGTGGTAAAAGAAGTGAGATAATATAATGCCAGATCAGTGTGAGACAGAAATACTGACCGCTTCTATGAAAGCCAAGGACAAAACTCATAATGACTTTAGTGGGAGCAGGCTATAGTCCTGTATTTGGTTAAAACTAAGGTACCCTTCATAATGAAGGTCAGTTCAGAGATGTTTAAAAATATCTGTGAGTGCACTCCTCTGCATCAACAAGGAAAGCAGAAGTGCTGGCTCTTTTTTTTTTTTTTTTTTTTGAGTAGAAACATCTTGACAGATCATTCCCAGCTGTGGCAGGGGAAGGAGAGAAATCTTTTGTTTTAATGATGATTTATGCTGCATGTAACAGAATGCAGTTAACTATTGTTTCTCACAGTAATTTAAAAAGTGAGTGCATATTAATGGTTTTAATTTGGGCCATTGGTTATAAAATGATATTTTGGTACTTCTTCCCTTTTATAGATTTCTGATTATATTGTTTCATTTTTGCACTTCTATTACTATGAACTCTGGTGACCACATCTCAGGTTTGGCTGTAAAATAGATGGTAAAGCGTGTTGGCAACCTAGGATAACATTACTCCTGTTTTTTGAGCAGGTATCTTGCTATTACATAGAAAATAATGACTAACTATTTGTTAGAAAACATGTTAGAAATTCACTTGAGAGTGTAGCAGTTTATAAACAGATCAGCCACTATTGAGTGGAGATCATTGCTGTAACCAAAAAGACATAGTACCACCTACAGTGTCTGAACTGACATGGTATCTTTTACAAAGGAGAGATTCTCTAGTAGGATGCAGCGTGCCCTCACTCAGCTTAGTATAAATTAATGGCTCCATCTAATTTAAAAATACTAATGAATAGTTCATTAATTATAGTAAGGACAAAACTAGAGAGATTTTTCTGGATGTTGGGGAGTGACCTTCTTTTTACTGACTTCTCTTTTTTAATCCAAAAGAAGTTAAATGCTTCCAGAGGAAGAGGATTTTAAAGAAACAGCATCCACTAATATAAGTGTATTATATAAGCAGCTGCTGTATATTAGGCACCATTCCCATGTCATAGGCACATATCACACATTCTTACAGTACCCTCATTTTAGATATGTTCCTAGGAGCAAGACACAGTGCAAGTTATCACAAATTAGTCACTTGACTAATGAGGTTCTGTGTATCAGGACTATTGCCTTTCAGTATAAGAGGTAAAGTTTGTCAAATAAATTGTTACAGAATGGATCAAGTAAACTCGCCCAACTTTAGTAAAAGCATTCTGTGTTTGATAGGTTATAAAGTCTGATCCCCTGGGAAAAGCTTTTGTAGTAACCAGCAGTTTAGGGAGCTAGCCCAGCTGACTTTAATCTGTAGGATGTGCTTATGTGTATATGACTCTTCTTGCAGCTATTGTAGCTAGTGTGTGTGAAGTGTGATTGTCACAAGACCTACTGGGATGTGGCAGGAAGGAGAGTGATTATATTAATGTTGAGCTCTGACATCCACAGCTGAAAAGTTCAGCCTTTTTATTGGTTTAGTGTCTGCTTTTAAAACACTTATTTATTTTTGCCTAAGAAAGTAGACCTATTTTTAAACAGCCAAAATCTGATAGGAGTTGCGTGGTACAGAAGTAAGATTACTGCCCTGGTAATGAAAAGATTTGATCTGTTTTTTAAACCTTGAAGGGAAATGAAATGCTGTCTGCTGCTGTTAGCTGGAAATAAGCAGAGATATAGGCCAAAAGGGTTCAGAAACCTCTGAACAAGGGGGCACCCACTTTATCATATATCCAGCGTGGATAAGTTCTAGCTTAATACCCATTATAGCTCCCAATGAGGTGGGTGCAGCCCATACCCACTTCATTTAGACACAACTGAGATTTGAGTTATTGGAGCTGCATAATGTTCTATTGTTTGTGTTACTGTGAATTATCATGGGTGAAAGACATTTCTTATAACCTAAAATAGCCCTATGGTACAATGACCAGATTTTGCAATTACTATCAAATTAAACTTTGTCAGTGCTTTCCTTTAACTTGTGATGTTTTGCCTTACTCTCTTGTCCTTGCTGTGCCCTGTTTACAGCACATTCTTAGCTTTCCTCCTCTTATGCTCTTTAAGATTTAAAGATGCCTAAGCATAGATCAGATATCTAAAAGGATAGGGAGCCTTCATCAGTCTCTTCACAGTTATATATTTGCTTTGCCATGCCATACACTGATAATTTTTGTGCTAGAGCTCTTAAAGGAGCAGAGCTTTTTGCACATTAAAGACAAAAAAAGAAGAAATACTAAGTGTCAATTAGCTAACATAACAAAATCAAGGAACAATGCTCTCCAGAAGTACATAGTTTGACAAACTTGTTTAAAAACTAGCAGTTCTCTTGGTCTCCCTCATATCCATTTATTTTGCTAGGAACAACCCCATCTTTTCCACCCATCGTTCCAGTCACATTAGATTACCTATGGTACTGTGGTAGTGGTGTCCACAATGAAGCCGGGCATTCCAGTCCCAATTTATCTAATCTAGTAAAACAGAGGACATTTTCTAGGAATGCCCTTTTTCCAGTGCATCCTTCTGAAATTGCCATTTCATTTTTAAAATGAGGAACATTTCAGTCTGCCTGTGATTCCAGTTACCCACTCAGAATTTTCGTTCCAAAGAGATTGAGATGATTTCATTTGTCCCATCTCATTTGATTGATGAAGGAAAATAATTACATTATTTCTCCTTCCTCCCATTTTTTTTCTTTTTCTTTCCCACTCCCCAAGAGGGAAAGCTGTATTCTGCCACAGTGACTGACTTCCTTGCAATAGATGCAGTCATTTACCGGAGCCTTGGAGACAGCCCAACCCTGCGGACAGTCAAACATGACTCAAAATGGTTAAAAGGTGAGTACACAAACGAAAAAAAGGGAGATGCATCTCTGATGAGAGTCTTGGATTGCTGACAGACCTCGCTGCAGTTTCATTTCAGCAATGTTTTCTGTCAGATAGAAGAAACTAAATTACATCTTTTACCTACTCTGATTTCCTTCCTTCCTTCCCCTTCTTCCCTTCCCACCTACCCTCCCCGTTACTGGATACTAAAAGAAACTACAAGTACCACCACAGTAAAATACATTACATCCAACTTTCCAAGCCTGAATCTTTCATTTCATAGCTATTGTGTAAAAAAGATGAAATTTTGAGGGCTGGGAGAGGAGACCAATGTTCTTGGGCTGTGCCTGAACCAACTCCTTTCCTAGGATTGTGGTAGGTAACAATCAGGGTTTTATGAGATACAGAGAATTTGTTCTGCAACGTTATGATTCATCGATATAAATAAAATTCTGGGGATATGACACAAAGCCTTCATTTTAGGTGCTGTATGGCTTTGCTGTTGAATTAGGCAATTTGTAAATACCTTCACTGTTAAGAAAGTTACTGCTTACCCTCACAAACGCATCATGAATGGCAGTGAGACAGTGAGCCAAGCTCAGGTATAAGGGCTTGGCTTGCATGCAAAAATGCTGAAACAGAATGGGGTTGAGGGAAGAAAGCATTAGCCCAGTGTGTGTGTGTATATGTGTGTTAATACCAGGTACCCATGGAGCTAGTCCATATGTGCTACTGCTATCACTAAGTCTAGGGAACAGCAGATTGCATGGTTTGCTATTCTCTCCACGTGTGAGGTTTTGGCCATAAGGATCTACCCTTGCACCAGCTACCCATGCCCATATTTGAAAGTGTCACTATCTTCACCTTTCCTAATTCTCCTGCAGAAATCCAAAGGGGGGTCATTTCAGTGGCATGCATGCAAGTGCGTAATTGCCTTGCATTGGTTCTCCACAGAGTTGCCTTCAGCCACTACATCCATCCAAAATGAATTGTTTCCTGTCTGATAAGCCATGGTCTGGGTGAAAGGGCTGAAAACAGAGCTCTGCCCCCCTCCAAAAAAGTTTGTCTCTTTGGGTATGCAATGATATGTTTTGCTCTTATCTGTGCCTTTGATTCATTTTTATTTTATATATGGTGTACACATAGACAGAATGTGTTGTCTGTTTACAGAGCCATACTTTGTCCAAGCGGTAGATTATGGCGACTACATCTACTTCTTCTTTCGGGAAATAGCAGTGGAGTACAACAGTATGGGAAAGGTAATAGAATTGCCTTCGATTCTTTGTAATATTCAGAAAAAACTGCTCTTGGACCAGTGCTGTTAGGAATGACCTTGAAATGAGAACCATAAATCACAATGACAAGGTCATCGTTTTGAGAGGATCCTACTGCTCGAGCCAAAAGGTTGGTTGGAGTGAAACATTGCACTGTCTGGATACACAACGTGATGGTGGCAATATGTGCTGGAAGCTCTTTTATTTTCCTAACTCTGCAAAGTAAATGGCAAATTCATTTAATTCATCGTATCAGATAATAGTTAAAATTTTTACTTTAAAGAGGCAGCTGTATTTAGGAGATGAGAGTCAGGAGCACTAAGTAAACAAGGGAGGAATTTTGTTCTTTGACTTATTGTAAAGAACAATTGAACACTTACTGAATAAAATTTTTTGATATTTCCACAATAGACTTCCAACTAACCAGACAGAAAAGCTGACAAGGGTCACAAAGGTGCAGGGTATGAATACAAGCCCAGCGAGGTTTGCATAGTTTTGAGTGCCGAAGATACAAGACCCAGAGGCTGGCAGCGTGGGTTGCAGGGATTGTGAATATAAAGTGCTTTTGTTTGGGGAAATAGAAAGCTAAGCAGTCTGTATGGAAATGAGTTTATATGGGCTGAGAACTGATCTCCTTGAGGATTTATGGCTGGGTATTAAATGCCTCAGCCTTATCTTTTATAGCACACTCTTCCAAAGCTGAATTTTCCTCTGTTTGTTATTTGTCACAGATTATGGAAACATGGGATTAAATTAAGCACCTCGCTGTGTCATTTCTATTTTTTTTTTAATAAAGTTTCTCTGATCAAAGAAATATTTCATTTTCTCTATTTTTTTTCCTTCGCTGCAGGTAGTTTTCCCAAGAGTGGCTCAGGTTTGCAAGAATGACATGGGAGGATCTCAGAGAGTTCTGGAAAAACAGTGGACTTCCTTTCTTAAGGCTCGCCTGAACTGCTCAGTTCCTGGCGATTCACACTTCTATTTTAACATACTGCAGGCTGTTACGGATGTTATCCATATCAATGGCCATGATATTGTCTTGGCAACCTTCTCCACCCCTTATAACAGGTAACCAATGCAGTAGCTTTTTGGTTTGTGCTTAATACGTACCATGTGTTTTGCCTTTTCATTGCAGTTTCTTCTTACACTTTAAAACTACAAGAAGCAGTAGCTATTAAAATATAAGTTTTATTTAGCATGCACATATGGGCACCCATTTTTCCAATTTTAAATACTCTAGTATTGTTTATTACATTATATGACTGATGCTTGAGATGAGTTTTAAATCATGTGCTACATGATCACATATGTTAGGCACATTTTCCTTTATGCTGGAATAATTTTAGATAGGGGACAGAAAACTCTGCAATGTCCAACTTGCAGAGTTTCCTACTCATTCTTCTATTGGCAGAGTGTGGTTTGCCCCTCCCAGATCCCTAGAAGAAGCCCTGGGTTCTTCAAGATACATACAGATGTCCCTTGCCTCCACCCTACCGCCTTACCCCACCAACTCCTGCTAGCACCTGGCAGTCTGTCTTCTGGAACAGCTGATCTCTTAAGGTCTCGACCTGGCTGCCCACACATTCACAGAAAAGGGCTCCAAAGTGTGGACAGGATAGTAGTGGAAGTTAACACATCCTCATCTTGTGTTAATCGCTATAGCTCTCACCATGAGTTTGTAGGGGAGAAACTGGAAGACTCCAGATCTAGCTTGCCACCTTCCTGGCCCTTCTAAGCCAATGGAGCTGTAACCCCATGATGCTCCATTAAAGGGATTCTGAGAGGAAAACAGCTGGCATGCCAAGTGAGGGGAACTCTCCCATTTCATGGGTGCAGGATCCCCTCTGTGCATAGACATGTCTTCCTGTGTGTTTGTACAGAACCTAGCACAATAGAGGCCTGTTCTTGGTAACGGCACTGCCACAACACAAACAATAAATAATAATGGGACCCGTTGTTCTAACACCTGCATTTTATAGTTCAGCATATAAAGGCTTTCCATGACATCTGTTTAGAATTTGTTACCAGTGTATATTATAACATGCTGCTTGGAAAGTTATTAAAACATGTAACTGCATCTAATTACTGAGGTCTCAGGAAAAGTTAAAAAATGTTCTAATTAAAGAAAAATTCCTGCAGGGCCCCAGAGGGTCTGTTTCTTTTCCCCTGTTCTATATTACAAGGGACACTGGGGCTGCAACATGAACTTTATTGCTGGAGTTCATCTGCTCTTGCCGTACAATTCCCACCTACAGTCAAAGGGTGACCCCTCTGAGGTCAATGACAAAACTCCCACTGATTTCAAATGGGAGCAAGCGCAGGCCTCCAATGTATAATTACTGCTTCTGACAACAAAATTAGAGTAGCTGCAATGGAATGATTATGCCCCAAATGCAGGACATGACTTCAAATAAAAACTAAGCAACAGGAGCAGATGATTCTGTTTTCATGCAAATCACCTAAATAAAATAATAATTAATAAAAAATCAAAAGAATGCACCAGAAAGTGGGCTATATCATCAGAATTGCCTCTAAATTGAAAGTTTTCCAGGGTTTTCCATGCTGTGCTGTTAGTAATCATTAAGATGTCTACTACTGCAACCGTCAGCCCCGAGACCCACCTCCTCGCAGCTGAAGCCCGGAGCCCTGCCACCCTGCAGGGCAGAACCGCTAGACCTACTACCCTGCTGCAGGGCAGAAGCTCTGAGTCCTCCCGTCCCCCCAGCCCAGCAGCTGAAGCCCAGAGTCCCAAGCCCCGCCCACCACTGGGCCCTGGAGATTTTATAGCATGTTGGGGAGGTTTGGAGGGCTCTGGGAAATAATCTATGAGAATTTAAGACGTGGAAACCATCATATAATATGTGAAGTATTATTCCTGTGGGCAAAGTCTTTTTTGCAGGGGATGGGAGGATGTACATTGCGGCTGGAGACACTGCAACAACAGGTCTATGCATGGAGTGGCTAAAGCTAATTTCTGATCCATTGAGCAGGGCCTTGTAAAATGTCTTTGTTCACAGGAACTAGAAGGGGCTAATAAGAAGGGAGTCATCAATCCCTGCCTAGAAGTAGGCCAGGGGTCTGGGTCCAGCTCCTACTGGGTTATGGGGAATATTGGATTTGGCTTGCTGTTCCCCCACTGTGCTAAGTGGATCCACCTGCTGCAATCCTCAATAGCCAGACCTTTGGCCTGCCCATATCCACCTCCACGGGGATCTCTTCACTATGCAGGGAGTGTGGAGTTGAACTCTGCAGGTGTTTTTGTTCTCCATACCAAACCTCCTGCTGTTAAATTGCTTTTCGCCCTTCGTTAGGGGCTTAATCTTATAAAGTGCTGAACTCCTCCATCTCCAATGGGACTTGAAGGTGCTCAGCACGTGCAGGAATTGCTCTTCACCTTTCAGGATTGAGCCCTAGATATTCCAGGCACCCTCAGTTAGACTCTCAGGACCAAAGTCACCCTGGTATAACTCCATCAAAGTTACACCAAGATGAACTTGGCTCTCTCTCTTTAAAATGTTTCAGAATGTGGACTCACATTAGCAACCTTTGCACTAGGTCTCCTTCCATGAGACAGCCCAGCCTTTGGAGAGCTAACCACCTCCCTTTGTTTCAAACAGGGCTAGTGAGGTTCCCCTATTTCTGTTTCATTTACTAGCCCTCTGGATGTTGCATTTTGAAATTAAAATGACAAACTCTCATTAATATTTATAAAACTATTTTCATATCAATTTACGTTCCCTTCTAAGTCTTGTGGTATCCCCCCCCCCATAGTTTTGTTCCCACTTTCAAAGGCCAAGGAACAAGGTGTCTTCTGTGGTGTATTATAGTCCACTAGCCAAAAGCCTGATTACAACTCTTGGCCAGCTGGTGCTCAGTATTTATCTGATCAAAATCAAGCAGCGGAAGTCAGACACAAATGCAAGAGTTCATGTGTAAACAATAAAGGTAGATAAATGAATAATTCATAACTTAAAGTCATTGACCAGGGGAAACCTCTAAGCCCTTCCAATAGTGTTTATATAAGAATGTAATTATATTTGGACATGGTTACTATCCGGTTACATGCAAATAATCAAAATCCTAATTGAAATTTTTAGTGGCTATAAGCAACACTGTGTTTGTTTCTGCAAACTCTTTACAGTTGATTGAGTTAACTGTGTATAGGAAGTCAGTTAGAAATGTACAGGAAAACCTGATGGAGATCTGAACCTGAAAGGATGTTGTGATACTGTTCAACTCTCAGTCTTAATGGGATCTTTCAGCACAGAGAGATGCATCAGCTCCAACTTCTGAATTATCTCTAGATTGTATTTTGGGGGCACAGCAAGAACTGTGAGAATCAGTACTGAGTGTATTATGAATTACAGGAACTTGACTTTCCAAGTACTGGGCACTAAATGAATAGCCTGTTACTCTTCATACATCACCAATGGCAAGCAGAGTTTCCCAGATTCTTTCCCTCTTCAAGATTATTGAAATTCATTCTTTCTTTAGAGGCTTTTGAAACTGACTACCCATTGGTACATTTCAAACTTTTGCATGGAGCAGCCTTTTACTGTCAATACCCGGAGGTTATAAAGTTCAGGACTAAGTAGCCTGTGACAGGAAAACTTCTATGCACCATATTTTTCAGTCAAAATTTTATGCATAACTGCATAATGAGTAACAATTTCTGGGAAATGTCACGTTGCAGCATCCCTGGCTCTGCAGTCTGTGCCTATGACATGCTTGACATTGCCAATGTATTTACTGGGCGATTCAAAGAACAAAAGTCTCCAGATTCTACGTGGACACCAGTTCCTGATGAGCGAGTGCCCAAACCCAGGTATGCATTCATATGCTGTGTAGTAATGGATTGTGTCTTGGTGCACACAATACAACATGTTAGACTGAGCAGCAATGTGAGATACAGATGTAATGGGAAATGCATATTTTAACTGAAATAGGAATTCAGCCTGATTCTGATCTAAGTTATGGTGGTGTATCAGTAGTAGTCCATTGAAATCAGCTTTAATACAGGTCAGATCAGGATCATACACATTAGATCAAAATCAGGGGTTGCTTAAGATGGTATAAGTTACACATTGTCAGGAAATGAATGGCACCATTCGGGGGTAACATAACAAATATAACTTAATGTGCCAAGTAGGAGGAAATAAGGGGGAAAAAGGAAAAGCAACTAACTAGAGGGTGTAAGATAAAAAAAGGGGATCTGCTTTATCTAATACCACCTATTAATTGTTTCCCTTATGTCCACTTCCCTTCCACTCCCTTCGACATGTTCATTGCACTTATTTTATAGACCCATTAAATACCAGTTCAGTGCAAGTTACACTACCTTGACACCTACTCCCATCACACTCAGAGCCAGATTCCACTTAATGGTATACTGGTGTAAATCTGGAATAATTCCATTTATGTCAGTAGAGTTATACCACTGTAACCATTAGTAGAATCTGGCCCCAAATCCATCATTTAATTTGATCCAAAAGACTTCCATTGCACCCAGTTACACCAAGTCTGAATTTGGCCCATTATGTTTTAGAGACTTACTGAACCTAGCATTTCAATTTCTTCATTAGGCCTAAGTTTATCTATCTTCAACTTTATTTGTAAGTTGTTCCCTGGACAGGAACTTTGAAATGCCATCATGTATATGTTATGTCTACTGTCCCGGGGACAGCCCCAGGGAGTACCTGAGCAGCGGTCCCTGGGACCTCGGAGCAGGGGTTGCTGGGGGCAGTCAGCCCCTGTGGCCAGTGCAGGGGCTAGCCATTGGTGGGCCCCCACAGCAGCAATGTCCTAGGGGCCCCACAGAGCAGCAGCGCCTGGAACCTCAGGAGCTGCTAAGGTTTAGTCGGGTATTTATATAGTAAAAGTCATGGACTTTTTTTGTGTGGATTTTTTGTTTAATGCCCGTGACTTGTCCATGACTTTTACTAAAAATATCCATGACTAAATCTTAGCCTTACTCATGCCTACAGTACTGGGTGTCACAGTTCAGGGCAACTACACCTGTATTCCTCTCTATGGCACAGCAAGGGCACCCACTCTCAGGCTTTCAGCTCCCTAAAAGTTACCTCTCTTGGGTGGAGCCATGTGTCTCCCTCCCTCCTGACCAGGGTATTTCCAGGCTGCCCAGTTCCAGGATTATATTGTGATTTTCCCAGCAAAACACAGTCTGTTTAAACAGGCCTGCTTGCCTCTCCTCTCAGAGACAGCATACAATGTAATTGCCAACAGTTATGAGTTATCACCCAGCACTTCCTATGCAGACCTATTTTATTCATAAGGAAAAAACACTACATTAAAAACATTAAAACAATAAAAGAATCTACACTCATGCTAATAATCTTACCAGGGTTCACCCCAACCTTAACATGGGCTCTGGTAGGAGCAGTCCTTCATACCTTCACCCCAGAGGTTTCCTTGTGGTTTCAAATGCAGATGTGGTCACCCCATCTCAAAAAAGATATATTGGATTTGGAAAAGGTTCAGAAAAGGGCAACAAAAATGACTAGGGGTATGGAACGGCTTCCGTATGAGGAGAGATTAATAAAACTGGAACTTTTCAGCTTGAAAAGAGACGACTAACGGGAGATCTGATAGAGCAGGGGTTCTCAAACTGGGGGTCGGGACCCCTCAGGGGGTCGTGAAATTATTACATGGGGGGTCACGAGCTGTTAGCCTCCACCTCAAACCCCGCTTTGTCTCCAGCATTTATAATGGTGTTAAATATAGTTAAAAGTGTTTTTAATTTATAAGGGGGGTCGCACTCAGAGGCTTGCTATGTGAAAGGGGTCACCAGTACAGATGTTTGAGAACCACTGTGATAGAGGTCTATAAAATCATGACTGGTGTGGAAAAAGTAAATAAGGAAGTGTTATTTACTCCTCTCAACACAAGAACTAGGGGTCACCAAATGAAATTAATAGGCAGCAGGTTTAAAACAAACAAAAGGAAGTATCTTGAATACTGCATGCAGATGTGGTCACCCCATCTCAAAAAAGATATATTGGAATTGGAAAAGGTTCAGAAAAGAGCAACAAAAATTACTAGGGGAACAGTTTCCATATGAGGAGAGATTAAAAAGAGTGGGACTTTTCAGCTTGGAAAAGAGACGACTAAGTGGGTACATGATAGAGGTCTATAAAATCATGACTAGTGTGGAAAAAGTAAATAAGGAACTATTTACTCCTCCTCATAACACAAGATCAAGGGGTCACCAAATGTAATTAATAGGCAGCAGGTTTAAAACAAAAGGAAGTATTTCTTCACACAACGCACAGTCAGTCTGTGGAACTCTTTGCCAGAAGATGTTGTAAAGGCCAAGACTATAACAGGGTTCAAAAAAGAACTAGATAAATTCATGGAGGATAGGTCCATCAATGGCTATGAGCCAGGATGGGCAGGGATGGTGTCCCTAGCTTCTGTTTGCCAGAAGCGGGTAATGGGTGACGGGATGGATCACTTGATGATTACCTGTTCTGTTCATTCCCTCTGAAGCACCTGGCATTAGCCACAGTCAGAAGACAGGATACTGGTCTAGATGGACCTTTGGTCTGACCCAGTATGGCCATTCTTATGTTTAAGTTGATCACAGCTTCAGCTCAGAACAAGCATAGTCATGAAAAGTTTAGTCCATCCTTTATACAGGGGTCTTTGATCTGGGGTTTCCAGGAGTAGGTAATTAGGGGAGACAATGGGTCTTTCTCCAGGGCATAGCTGCCAACGGCCTCCCAAATACCTACTAGGAAACCCACTTCACACATATTCTCCCAGACAGTTATTTGAAGTTCCTAACATTTACATTAGTCAAGTCCCTAGAAAAGTTACATACAATCCTACAGTAACATGTAAACAGTTGCAATTGTAATACAATGGACCCCAAAGATATTAAATCTACTTCAAAAAGGTTTAACTTAATTCACTAAAATTAATCTTTATTCAATGAGGTTTGTTCAGGATATTGCAGGATACTGTCATTCTGCCACACTGGAGTTCTCATGCTTGTCAGAAACAAAGTGAAACCACAGTAAATAAGATGTTCACATTGATGCTGGGTTCTCCCACCCCCACTGGGCTGTATTTTGAACATTTTATTTCACACTGTAAAAAACCAACTTTCCCCTTGTAAATTAAATAGAGTACACTTATTCCATGAGAAAGCGCCGCAGTGATGGGGCCAGTTAAAACCGGGAGAGTGCCTTATCCATGGACAGTATTTTGCCAAATAAGTCTGTACTTTATTAGATTCCATGTGGGTGGATGGACTGCAGACTCATGTATTTAAAACTTCGTGATCTGCGTGTTTGGGTGGCAATAAATCAAAGTATTCCTTAGACGGGCAGAACAGAGTCCTGGACTCCCACTAAGAGCTCAGCAGGCCCAAAGGAAATCTAACAGTACTTCATTTGGTGGCATTCTGAATTGTTCAGCACAGAACCTTTGGCGAATTCTTGCCTAGTGCCAGATGCTTAGAAAAGCAATTCACTTAGAAGATTTGCCCTCAGGCATTAAATAAGTACTTTCCCTCCTTGTTTCATTTAGGCCAGGTTGCTGTGCTGGCTCTGTATCATTAGAAAAGTACATAACCTCCAATGAGTTCCCAGATGATACTCTAAATTTCATCAAAACGCATCCTCTCATGGACGAGGCTGTTCCTTCAATTGTCAGCAGGCCCTGGTTCCTGAGGACGATGGTCAGGTAAATAACTAACTTCCAAATGGACTTTCCTAACCCTCTTAACATGCTGTCAGGATGTGTTAATGAACTATGCTTAGAATATTTTGAAATTCTAATAATCATTTCTGCTGTGCTGGGCATGAATCCAGCAATGAATGATGACAGTACTGAGTAGATGCCACAGAACTCCCAGAGCAGCTTTCAAGACTGGAAATGATTTCAGTCCTTTCCAACCATGCTGCACTGAAACCAGATTGCAGAGGAAATGTAGAGCAGGGAACATTGCCCCGCATGTTAGCTTATGGGTCAGTATTTGAAACAGCTCTGTAGAAAATTTTGGGTAAAGTTCAACAGGTAGCCAGGGGATATGTCCACAGGAAATAAAGATGCCTGTCAGGATATGTTCACAGGATACAAAGATGTCTGTCAGGATATGTGCTGGTGTGTTTCAGTGTTTGCACAAGTGTACAAACAGAAATAATCACATAACCCCCATCTGTTCTATGACAATGAGAAAAGAAATAATAATACAGAGATTTGTACAAAGGCACATAAATCAACAATCCTCAGATTGTCACCACCACACATTGGGAAACACATTTCTATTCTATTCTGTAAAGGTTCTTACGCTGCTCTCATCATGATAATATCTAAGCACCCTCCTGTAGCGCATTAAGTGAAGTGACTAACATCTGCCTCATGTAGTTTATTCTCTCGCTCTCATTCTCTCCCCAGGGGGAGAATTGTGTGTGCAGTATAGTGTTTAGTTTGGGTTGGGTTTTCTTTTGGAGGAGTTTTTTTTTAATGTACATGTTGCTATGTGTTTATGTTAGAGAAGACGAGGTCAAACAAATGCACCTAGCACTTGGAGAAGAAGGTGATAAGGTTTGTGGTGGTCTGCGAAAGTTCATTCCACAGTCTCGGACTGGCCTCAAGAAAGTTTTGTCTCCCACATAGATGAGCTTTATCCTTATTGTAGAAAATTCCATTGTGCCAGAGGAGCAGAAGTGTCAACCATGGGAGCTTTAGATGGTCTTTTAGATACCATGGGCCCAGGCCTTTGACAGCTTTGAAGATAAAGACCGAGACCTGGAACTTGAGTCAGTAGTCTATTGGAAGTCAGTGTAGAAAGGGGAGGACAGATTTGATGTATTTGTGGTAGGCCGTGTTGTTGAGAAGATGTGGTGCAACATGCTTGTTTTAGGTGGAGTTTCCTAAGGGATGGAGGCTTCATGCCCAGGGATATTGCAGTGCTATTATCCAGATGAAGGTGATGAAGGTATGTGTAAGGAATAACGAAGGACTGGAGTCATTGGCATTTCCCAGCCCACCAGAGAAGACAGAAAGCTGCTATGTGAGAACTTAGCATCAACGAGGAATCGAGGCACACTCCTAAACTATGAATCAAATTGATCCATTGTGGGGGTGTGCCTTCAATGAAAGGAGACCACACCGTGGCTGCAAACTCCTCTAAGGTTTTCTTCTGCCCACTAGCATCACCTTTGTCTTGCTCAGGTTCAGCTTCAACAAAGCTGTTCTTCATCATGAGCTGATGTTGTCCAATCCCTGAGCTATCTTGGTGGTAGTGGTATGGTCATATGTGGTGAAGTATAAGTTCAGCTGATTTAGCTTTTAGCTTTTCAGTATTGTGCTGACACAGCTTTTACTACCAAAAGGATGAATATGGATATGCCATCACTATTGCTTTCTATGACAGAATATGAAATTTTAAACATTTCCACGCACTAATTTTCTTTCCCTGCTCATAGAAGTCATCAGACTAGCACTTTGCTTCTGATTGGAAGAGTAATTGCTAAGTGGTTTCAGACATTTATGCACCTCTTCAGCTGGCTGCTTGAGCTTTGCTGCTGCAAACACTTTTGCTAGCTGTATAACATACATATTCACACACAAAACAGCATCAGTTTGGTGCCCAGCTACTACTCTCTGTGTGAACTAATAGGGTCAGCTCAACTGAAAAAAATAGTTTATATTTCTTATATGATTACTAGAAAGCTATCAACTATTATTTGAAGTGGGAAAAGTGATAAAATAAATGATAGACTAACTCAAATAATGACAAATGCTATGTCGTCGTGCTAGATACCGTCTGACCAAAATTGCAGTAGACACTGCTGCTGGGCCACATCAGAATCACACGGTGGTTTTCCTGGGATCAGAGAAGGGAATCATATTGAAGTTCTTGGCCCGGACAGGAAACAGCGGTTTCCTAAATGATAGCCTTTTCCTGGAGGAGATGAATGTTTACAATCCCGAAAAGTACGTATCTGGATCTTTGTACTCATTTACGGGACAGCATTGACACGTCTGAATTTCCATCGTGCAGGTAGTCCTATGAAAAGGGAATGGCCAGAGAATTCAGAGTTTTCGAGTCCATTTTGAATGTTCCTTTTGTGTCTGCTTCCATCTGTTTCTACATTTTATTTTCCATATTTTAATTTCAACACGTATAGATAATTGCCCATCACAGCAGGGCCGGCTCTAGGTTTTTGCCACCCCAAGCAAAAAAAATTTTGGCTGCCCCCCACCCCAGCCCTGGGCTCCCCCCGCACTCCCCTGCTGCCCCAGTCCTGGGCTCTTTCCCCCACATCCCCTGCCGTCCCAGCCCTGGGTCACTGGTAACTCGCTCCCAGGGCGGGTCATCAGCATCCCGCTCATGACACTAGCAGGGGCGGAGGCTGCATCCACCCGACTCCTTCCTGGCGCCCAGGGGGCCCTGACTCCACCCGCTCCCCTCTCACCTCCAGCCCCGGGGTAAGCAGCGGGGCTCCTGGGCCGCGCCTCAGCCCAGGGTCCCTCCAGCTGGGACTCCTGCCTCCAGGACTGGCCGGGAATTGGGAGGGCAGAGCTGGGGGGACCGCCCCGGCAGGGGGCTGAGGAGCAGGGGCAGGGCAGCCTCAGAGGGAACGGCTGGCGGGGAACAGAGCCCCGGAGAGCGGGACGTGGGCCCCGCACGGCAGCGCCCCGGTCACCAGTCCCCTCTATGGCCCCGCTGCTGCTCCTGGCCGCCCTGCCGCAGCCCCTGGGTGGCTCGGGCCGCTTTGCCCAGCCCCGGCTGCAGCGCTGGAGGGCGGCCGCCCTGCGGCACTTGTAGGCAGCTCCTTGCACCCCGCAGGGCGGCCCTCAGCCCAAGTGTCCCATGCTCCACGTGTCGGATGGCCCGCCCGGGCCCGGTGGCACGAACCACAGTGGCCCCAGGGCGCTCCCCGCGTACAACGCGCTGCTGCTGCTGGACCCCAGTCTCGGGGCCAGCTTTGGCCACCCACTGCGGCTCTTCCACCTGGACTTCAGCGTCAGCTTGGAGGCCAGCACAGCGTCTACCTGGGTGAGTGCCGGCAGGGCCGGCTCCCAAACAAACAAACAAACAAAAAGGATGGCCCGAATGCTGCCCCTGCAAATGTGCTGCCCCAAGCACCTGCTTGCTTTGCTGGTGCATAGAGCCGACCCTGCATCACAGGCAGCTCTTAAGCATCCCTGACAATGCAATCCAACAAATACAAAAATAGCAGTAGCTAACCAACAACTTGCCCATAAAAATGAACCCCCCACACTCAAAATGCTGATTCCCCTCAAAAACCCACCCCCAAAATAAGACCTCCTGACCTTCAGCCCTCCTCAAATGTAAATAGATTAGTTTTGCAGCATACCATAAAGGTTAAGGAGGGGAGTAAATTTGAAAGTCAAGGAGCTACATGGAGTCGTCCCTACTGGCAGCTCCCTCTTGTATATATCCTTTTTAACAGTTGTTTATATATCTTAGGAACAATGATTTTAATAGAGTTCATGTATTCTTTTCCCCTGACCTAATGATTTCTCCTCTCTGGAATTTACTCAGATTAAGAAATCATTATGTTATAATTAAATTTGCCAAGAGAACCCATTTATAACATTATCCTACTCTGTCAAATCAGGTGCAGCTATGATGGGGTAGAAGACAAGAGGATTATGGGAATGCAGCTTGACAAACATAGCAGTTCTCTCTATGTAGCATTCTCTACCTGTGTGATAAAGATTCCCCTGGGACGATGTGAGCGTCATGGCAAGTGCAAAAAGTAGGTGTTTTCTGTCAGGGTTTCTCCCCAAGTTTACAAACCCTTTTTCAAGCCATATCGAGCATTAGAAAACTGAAGAAGAAAAAATTCCAGAATGCTTTATGATCTTCTTCTTTCTTAAGGGCCTGCATAGCCTCCAGAGACCCATACTGTGGCTGGGTGAAGGAAGGTGGGGTATGCACACAGCTGTTACCTGGTGTAAAGTAAGTAATCGTTGGCATTGGATAGACAGAGTAAAAATTAGGGGCTTTAGCAATGATGCCAATGAGATACACTTTTGAACAGAACTGTGAAAAAGCCCAGCAGGAGCTCTTGGAAAAAGAATGTGCAAAATGTTTGCTTTCATCTTATTTGCATTCTCTGGAATTCCAGAGTATGATTTGATGCAAACTCTCCACTGATTATTTACCCTTAGGAAAAAGAAAAGAAGATAGATACACAGTAAGTCCCATGTATTGCTCAAAGAAGGAGAACTGTATGACCAAGTTTGGCACTGGTGCCATCAAAGCTGATTAAAAGAGGCAATAGAATCCAAATTAGATTACTGAAGCAGTTTGACCACCGAAAACAAACAAAGCCAGCCCTCCTAATTTACTGTGTATTACTAAAATGAATCACAGATCACTAAAGTACACCGAAACAATTGTTGGGTCTCTTATTGCTTAACAGTGGAATTTCAGTACTTCATAACAACATTTTAGGACTCTGAAAGCTTGTTTTAAATGCATTTATAAATGCCTCCTTGCAGGCAACAGATCCACCTGAAAAGTCTCATATTTTTGCCAGGTCTGACACACCACAAGCTTGCTCACTTTAAGCCTTGGCTGTACTTCAGAATCTTGGTACAGGTGTATTGCTAACATCAGATAACCTCCGTATTCCTGCCGACAGGAAGCCCCTTGCTTCCTTACAGGTCCTCAATAAATATATAACTGCTGTGTTATCATTCTTATACCTAGATCAGCCATCTTATTCTCTCTATTACTTTAGAATGGTTTTTTAAAGATTCACTGTAGATCTTTGTTAACTATAAGTGCCCTGTTGCATTCTCTTCATTACAACAATGGGGATTGTGCCTCAGATGGGCCATTTGGTAGAATAGTATTTAAGCATATAGTGTTTACATCTATTTCTGCATCTGTGAGCATTTCTGTAGTGTTTATTATCATAGTTCCTAGGCTCAGTACCTACATATTGGCTTAATGTATTTTTCTTGTCAAAATACCAATGCACCTTCTGTAGAATACAAGCAAGTTCAGATAGAATCATAATTGCTTTCTGATAACTTCATTGTTTGTTTTAGACTTATCACTTTATTCACAGATGTTCTCCCATTTTTCATAAAGATATGTATCTGTTTGCCTGATTTAGCAATACAAGATGTAGTAGATTTTGGAGAAAAAGATGTCAAAGCATCTTCTGCACCCAAAAGAACCGTTAAGAGATGAAAATAATTCAATTTGTCTATGTTTGCATTTTGCAAGTTTCCCAGTGGTGTATTAAAGAAATGACCAGTTTCTCTCTGTATCTTTATTTCATTTTTAGATGGTATGATTTCTCTCTGGTGATGCCTGTGAGTGTTGTTATTCACACTATTATGTTTCTTTCTGTTATTTAGGTTGGCATTTGAGCAGGACGTAGAGCATGGCGATACAGATGGCCTGGGTGACTGCCAAAGTAAGCAAAGCTTTTACTCCCTGTTTATCTTGTGTCAGAGAATCTTTCTGACTGCCCAGAATCACCATTACCTGCCAGGGCTTTATTGGTAACAATGAAAAACATAACAACAGCAACCACACTTAAAGTAACCAGTCCAAGAAAAGCATTTGTGTGCCTGTTTAAAGAAAACAGCATTTTGGTTTATACAAACAATGGCACTTGTTTTAATGGCAATTGTGTTGTGGGACAAATCCAGCTCTGAAGGATATTAATTATAGCAGCTGTATACACTGTATCTTCATTGCCATTGTAAACTCAAGGGTGGGTGGGTGGGTTGGTTGGTTTATGTGTATGATCTTGCATGCAGGGTCTCAGCTCCACAGTGCAAAATGAACATTTGTTGCTTTACAAATGTTGGGTGAGATTGTGACTTGGTCTGTGTACCTGTACATGAGAGCCCCTCTGCTCTCTTTACTCAGACCTTGAGTCGCAGCCCGCAAGGGTAAGCAAGGCTACTCTTAGTCCCTCTCTGGAACAGATGGGCAGCAGACTTGAGGAGGGATGAGAAGTGTGCATAGCCTTGTCTCCACTCCCTACTCAATGGCCAGCACAGCTGAGCCAGCATGTTGTGGGAGGTAGTAATTTGCAACTGGTATGGCCAGCAGTAAACCCTCAGGAGTAAGGGGCAGAATGGAGGGGAGTGTGACTCCCTGAGAGGCAACTGCTGACTTGGGCTGCTCCTGAGGCAGTGCAGCTACCCATCACCCCTTATTATGAACTGTGTCATGTGCCAAAATATAGCTCTTTCAGATTAAGCATATTTAAATTTAGGAAAAATACAAGTGTGTGCATAATAAGCCTAATCTTTTATCCTTTGTGCATCCAAAACCCTAGGGGGTGAAATCCAGGCCCCACATAAGTTAGTGGGAGTTTTGCCCTTGTCAGTAATGGTGTCAGGATTTCATCCTTGCTGCCTACAGAATTGGGCTTGTTTATGTTATGGACTTTTTTCTGATTTCCTTGAATTTATGTACATTTACTAACAGGGACAATGTAGACAAGGAGTTTGGAATGAAGACTAATCAGTTGGGACCAAATTCTGATAAACTGAGTTACCATGAGCAGGGCCTAGAGTATTCACATTGAAGTCCAGGGCACTCTGGTCAAATACAGTGCGAGTCAACATGATGAACAAGTCTAGGAGAATGTGGCCTTTGGAAATGACACACGTTATATGGCCAACCATTTAACCTTCAAACTCGTGGACTGTACATGTGAAGTGATTTTTTTTAAAATGACCCTTTAACTCTGCCTATCTGTGCTAACTCCATGAGAGGCATTTAGAAAACCCAGGCCAAAAATCCTTTTAATAACCACTCCCATGGCATGGCTTTACGCAAAAGATCTATGTCAAAATTCGTTCAGCGGTGCTTAAGGTTATGTTGAGCTGCATTTGACATACTTTAACGTACCTTAATATCCTTAAAGAGCCTCAGCATTTTTAATTGGAGAGAGATTTAATACAAACCACATGTAACTTTACAAGGTAAATTTCTTGTGCAGCAGAGTGCAGGATTTCACCTCATCATTCCCAGCAGTGGAATCCTGCAGCGCAATCCCTGTATAAAACTTTGGATAATATGCCTCTTTATATCTCAGAAATTCAAAGTGAAAGATGTCACTCAGTCTTTAAAGTGCGTGGTGCCCAGGGGCTGCAGCACATGTCGCGTGCAGTGAAATCTTATGTGCTGATTAGAGACCCCAGAAATACCTAGGGCTGCGTTCAAGATGGCCATTATTCTTAATGTTCTTGCCTGTGTTGGTTTAATTCAGAACCTGGACATTACTTTAAACCCATGCAACCAAGAACTCAGTTCTTCATAAAACAATTTCCGCTGCTGCCTGTGGCCACAATAAAACTGCTGAAGCTGAGGAGTTAATGTACAGTGAGCCAACACTTATGGCATATAGAGTAATGGAGCATGTAGACTGAAGGCCAGGGTGTGCTTGACTCCTGCACAGACGCACTGCTGAGGAGAATACCGGGTGCCTCCCACTCCTTACACAGCCATTTCTTATTGCAGTCCCTCTGCTTGGGAGAGCTCAAGGGTTTAATCTTTTGTATCAGATGTACTTAGATTTTCAGAAAGCCTTTGACAAGGTTCCTCACCAAAGGCTCTTAAGCATAGTAAGCTGTCATGGGATAAGAGGGAAGGGCCTCTCATGGATTGGTAACTGGTTAAAAGGTAGGAAACAATGGTAGGAATAAATGGTCAGTTTTCAGAATGGAGAGAGGTAAATAGTAGGGTCCCCCCATGAGTCTGTACTGGAATGAGTACAATTCAACATATTCATAAATGATCTGGAAAAAGGGGTAAACAGTGAGGTGGCAAAATTTGTAGATGATACAAAGCTATTCAAGATAGAGCTACAAAGTGATCTCACAAAACTGGGTGACTGGGCAACAAAATGGCAGATGAAATTCAATATTGATAAATGCAAAGTAATGCACATTGGAAAACATAATCCTAACTATACATATAAAATGATTGGCTGTTACCACTCAACAAAGAGATCTTGGAGTTATCGTGGATAGGTCTCTGAACATCCACTCAATGTGAAGCCGCAGTCAAAAAAACAAACAGAATGTTGGGAATCGTTAAGAAAGGGATAGATAATAAGACCAAAAATATCATATTGACCCTATATAAATCCATGGTATGCCAACATCTTGAATACTGCGTGCATATGTGGCCACCCCATCTCAAAAAAGATATATTGGAATTGGAAAAGGTTCACAGAAGGGCAACAGAAATTACTAGGGGAACAGTTTCCGTATGAGGAGAGATTAAAAAGAGTGGGACTTTTCAGCTTGGAAAAGAGACGACTAAGTGGGTACATGATAGAGGTCTATAAAATCATGACTAGTGTGGAAAAAGTGAATAAGGAACTATTTACTCCTCCTCATAACACAAGATCAAGGGGTCACCAAATGTAATTAATAGGCAGCAGGTTTAAAACAAACAAAAGGAAGTATTTCGTCACACAACGCACAGACAACCTGTGGAACTCTTTGCCAGAGGATGTTGTGAAGGCCAAGACTATAACAGGGATCAAAAAAGAACTAGATAAGTTCATGGAGGATAGGTCCATCAATGGCTGTTAGCCAGGATGGGCAGGGATGGGGTCCCTAGCCTCTGTTTGCCAGATGCTGGTAATGGGTGACAGGATGGATCACTTGATGATTACCTGTTCTGTTCATTCCCTCTGAAGCACCTGGAATTAGCCACTGTCAGAAGACAGGATACTGGTCTAGATGGACCTTTGGTCTGACCCAATATGGTCATTCTTATGTTCTTATGTATGTGTAACACCGACAGACCCCCGTCATTGGTAGGCAGGGTCAAGCCTGGGACTTTTGGAGCTTAGCCTTTGAGCCTCTACTGCATGAGCTAAAAGCCACATGGTCCTTAGCTAAGGCTGTAGCAGAGTCATTAATCTCTAAGTGGTCTCAGTGCCACTAGAGGGGACAGAACACCACATCCTGGAGGTGTGTGGGTCACATATGCGCCCCGCCTACTTCCATGTCAGTCTGCTTCATGGACTAGGAGGATAGGGTAGCCTGTACTCTGGGTTGTTTGAGAGATTTATGCACAGTCCCTACAGTGCTTCCCATGGGGTGACATGGCACCTATCTCAGGACACTATCTAAATGGCCCTTATTGTGTATGGGTTCAGTCCCACTTTTCTTAAAGTCCATGTGATTTTTGTCAATAACTACAATGGCAGAAGCATAAGTCTTTTTTTATATTTACTCTGTAAAGAGTTTCATATTTGAAGCAGATAATTCCATGGTACTCTTCACTGCATACCAGTGCCATGTACATAGAGACACCAAGAGTGATCTCACTGTAGATTTGGTCCTCCCCACAATACCAAATATTGCCAAAACTCAGTTTGAGACATGGAAAAATTAGAGTGGGGATTTCTCCAAATTTCTCCTTAAGCAGACACCTAATGACTTGACCACAATCAGACAATCAGCACTTGCAGATTTTGAACGTAAGAATAAGTTGAGGCTTTAACTATTTAAATGTCTAATAACTAATGGTCTATGAGGCAACTGCCCTCTTCCTGTTCCTTCTCAAGACTCATTTCTGCTGCGATGGTTACAAGAAATTGGCCAAATAACAGTTGGCCAGGTTGAATGGCAGTGGGGGATATCTGACATCAGTCACCTCAAAGAAGGGTGAGAAATGATTCAGAATCAAGCTGTGCACATTGGGTGAAATTCACTTCTTGGGACTTGATCCTGCAAAGAGAGCCATGTGGTGGCTGGGGTCTGCTTGCACAGTTGTCTTCGAAGGAGTGAGGCTTTAGCTCATAAGCTCTTTGGAGCAGACACTGTGGTCTTCTTCTATGTTTGTGCAGCATCTAGCGCATTGGTGTTCCGATTTTGATTGGGGCACTTGGGCATTGACACAGTACAATTAAATAACAAGCATAAGAGGTTTTTTTAGTAGCAAGTACTTAGCACTGTGTGAGAAACAATTTTTTTTACCTCTCGTTTTTGTTTTTCTTTCAGATTCCTTTGTAGCACTGAATGGTAAGGAAGTTCTTAGTCACATCATTTCCTAACTGTGCTGCTCAATTTTGGAGGGATCATCTTACTAACCTTTTAAATATTGTCATGCTTTGATTTTTCTATAATGTTTTTTCCTAATTTATTTTTTTCATAGCCATTTCAACTCCTTCACCAGCTCATGAAATATCTTACAACACAGTGTATGGTCAGTTTATTGATATTTTTAAAAATTCTCCCTCAGGTCCTTTTGTTAGCTGGTAGACCCCATTGCCCAATAGAGATTGTCTTTTTTGTTTTGTTTTATAGGGGCCTGATTCACTAATCTTAGGATTATTTGTGCTTTTCGACATACAAATTTCCATCTTGCACCAAAACTAACTTAATTGAGCTAAAACAATTTATGGCCAGTCTTAATGGCACTCCAAATTCAGAACTTTTAACCAAGCTGACCCAAGCATGCTTCACCAGAACATCTAGAAAGAGTACATGGTACAGTGAATACATTTTGTCTATTCACTGAGGAAAAGAAGGTAGGAAAATAGGTCCATCTAGCCAAGTATCCTGTCTGTGACATCAGCCAGTACCAGATGCTTTAGGGAAAGGAGCAAGAAACCCTGCCTCGGGCAGTTATGGAATAACCTACCCATAAGGAAAATTTCTTTGCAAGCCTCATTAGTTAGAGGTTGGCTCATGCCCTGAAACATGAAGGTTTCAATTGCTTCCAAACTTTTGGGCTGCCTTATTCTTGCTGGTGCTTCCATGCTCTACGTAACTCCCTAACTTCCTGGTGTTGCCAGCTCCCAGCAAGCCATCTGAAAACAATGGGCTTCACACTAGAAAGTTCTAACTTCCAGAGCCAAAGAGTTAGTCATTGCTTCCACAACAGATCTTCCTCCAATGGCAGATATCCATAGGCTGTGAGTGACATATGGTATTACTCCCAGTTAAGGCAATGGCATATTCCCATTGACTTCAGTGTGGCAGGGTTGGGGCTTAGTGATCAGACTCTTATCAGGTAGCACTGGATTAACAAGCCCTGGACGAACAAAGTAGATCAGAATTGGGACAAAATTAGCACATGCTCTGCATCTGCAAGTGTAGAGTGTTTTCAGTGTTATTCTTCCAAAGCATATAGCAGTAACTGACGAATAGTAATGTTTCTGAGTCTGAAAAAAAGAAAACTGCCCTGTGTATAGCACTGATGTTCAAAAAGATTTTGATTGGCAAATGCATTGGTACTCCCACTCATATGAAACAATTCTTTACAGCAGGGCTGTGGAGAGACATCTTATTGGTTATGGACTGTGGTGGAAGCTGCTTTTTTCACCTGACCAAAGAGTCATGAAGATGGCCCTCAGTGAGAAGCATCACAGCCCCAAAGGGTGTGTGTATAAAAAAAAAAAGATCACTCTGATGTCTGTATCTCCCTCTCCCAAACTGATTTATTGCATTAACATTTCAAAAAAGGATCTTATTTATCTGGGACTATGGAGAAATGCTACCCAGTGCTAACTTTAAGTCCCAATCACACCTTATCTGTCACCTAATACTAATGACATGCCTGGGCCAAATCCTGATATGCAGTCATTAGATCAGTGAATTTCTCTTATTGGTGTCGTAGTTAAAATACAAGTGGTGACATTATGGTGCAGTTGACAGTCCTTCTTCCCGCCTGCTTTGCGCTCAAATTACCAAAGAAAAGGGGGTTACAAAAATCTCGTACATGAAGAGAGAAAACTCACAAACTCTCCACAACATACAGTAAAAAACAATTCACTGTATAGACACACTTATGTTTGGTATTTTAACTGAGCCAAATAAGTCATTTTAGCATGAGAAGAAAAGTATACCCACTTTAACTAACATTATATAAACAGTGCATTTGCCTGTTATTGAACATAATTAAATGCAAAATTAAATGGCATTTCATTATGGCTAGAACCTTAGTATGCTGGTATATATGAGCATGCCAATCAAATGAATGCTCAGGATGCGTTTGTAGCTTGTGGGATATATATCTATCTCCAAAGGCATCTGAAACTCCAGATTCACAAGAAGGCTTAGGGCTGCTTCCTCTCATACTTGTTTTACACCATTGTTACTCCACTAACTTTACTGGAGTTACTCCTAGTTTATGCCAGTGAAAGTGAGAAGAGAGTCAAGCCCTTAATCTTTGTATTCTTGGCATCAGCATCCTCCTGAATTTGGCAGATGGGGCAGTCTCGCATGATCATCTATTAACAAGTGATAAAGTGCAAAGCTCATATCGATGACTGTTCATGCACATTCATTTTTCCATGCAGAAGGCCACTCCATGAAGGTCAGCTATATATGGAACAAAAACCACATATTTAGATGAAAGGCTAGGATTCTCAGCTTAAAGCAAGCTTTCCCCTGTGCAAAATTGTATGCAACTTAATTACTTTTGGAAACATCAATTTTTAGTGAATTGGGCCCTTATTTTACCCCCTAGCCACATTCCTTTCTCCCTCTGTAGTATTGATTTAGCCTTTCCCTCTAATTGTCTAATTAGGTTGCTATAGTTGTTAATAGGATAGTGTGTGGAGCATCTTAATCTCTGGAGTCTTAACACCTTTTGCATATTAGAGCAACTATCAAATCCATATTGCATCCCTGACTTTGTGTTAAAGCTAAAAAAATCATCTCTTCGTTTCATAAAACCATGGTTAGAATGAGTTGTAATTACAGAAATACAGTTCTTCTGACTCATAGTCAGTGCTCACAGACACTAACCATATTACAGCTTCCAAATTCCTCAACACGCACTTCTCTAGTTATATCTGCTTTCTTGTTCTTGCTGTATTATTGTGATTACAGACTTGCAAACGAAAAGCTTTACAAATTAATCACTAAATCACTTTTTTTCAAACAGCATGTGTCCTTAAACTTCTGCTTTCAAAATCAGTGCTTGAGGAGCACCATACATCTGCAGTTGTTCAGATGGGGGTAGTTTAAAACAACAGGAGAATCTTAATGAGGAAGTAACTTTAGACATTTTTTAAACATAAGCCATGTTAGAATAGAGCTGTTGGGCCTGGTTCCCATTATGCTAAAGCCACTTTGCATTGCTGTAGTTGTGTAAAAGGGCTTTAAAGTGGGTGTAAATATAACTTAAGGCCACTTTATGCAGGCAGCGTGGTATAAAGTAGCCTTAGTGTACTTGAGAAAAAGTCATATTACATTACATATGACAGTCATTGCTGAGGAACAATCATCACTATGAGTGAGTCACCCCTGCACAGAGGGGCAGCACTAAGCCTATGCAGCACTTTTAACCCTTATTTTCAGTGCTTAAGTAACACATACACCTATACAGTGCGCCATCGTAAATCTGAATTTCACAAGGGACTGATTGTGTCAACACTCACAGGGCACGATGAGACTACTCAGGGCAGGGGTGGCTCCAGGCACCAGTGCATCAAGCGCGTGCCTGGGGCGGCAAGCCGTGGGGGGGCGGCAGTCAGGCTGCTTTCGGCGGCATGCCTGCGGGAGGTCCGCCGGTCCCGCGGTTTCGGCGGCAATTCGGCGGTGGGTACACCAAAGGCGTGGGACCGGCAGACCTCCTGCAGGCATGCCGCCGAAAGCCGCTTGATGGCTGTGCTTGGGGCGGCAAAATACATAGAGCCGCCCCTGACTCAGGGGAACAAACTCTGTGCCCAGCAGTAAGTGTTTGCAGGATCCAGTCTGAATCCAAGTGGGAAAGGTTATTATGTTCTAATCTGCTGCTGCCCCTCGCTCAGATGGAAGCAAATGTATCTCAGCTACATGTAGAAAATCATTTCTCAATGCATACTATACTAACACTTTAGTAACAGAGTGAATAGACTGATTTCTTGCATTTGTGTGAAACACTTCTCTACCTAACTGCCATCTGGTACACATTAATATCATCATATAGCTATAGATTTCTATTACAAGGAGTTCTCCATGTATTTGTAGTATATGGTTCAGGAACGCTTTTTGTAAAGAATGTGTCCCTTAGGCATATCTTTCCCCTAGATTACCGTATTAAGAAATGTTTTTCCTTAACTATACTTATTGCATTACCATAAAATTGCCCCTTGAACACAGCTAAATTGAAAGTGTCTGCATGGAGATGGGGGCACAAAATGCATATCAAATACAGGTATAAATTATGACTGCTATTTGGCAATGCTTTCTCCTCAGTCCTTATCAAGCTAGGACTAACTGCTTTCTTATGTTGAGTGCAGCATTATTTGTAGGGCTGATCAAATATTGTACAGTATTGCAGTGGTTGAATGGGGTGTCAACTTGCAGTCTGGAACCCCGTGAATACTGGCACTATGGTTTTGTATTTAGAGAAAAGAAGGCATGGAAGCTCATAACTTCCACTTTCTAGGTTGTTTCTGTCCCGTTGCTTCTGTTATTTCTTTGGGATGAGCACAGGAGCCTATAGGCATAAAATGGTATGGTAGAAAAGCCTTACAGTTCCAGTATATTTCTAGTTTAAGAAGGCACATATTTTCAGTAGCTGGCTCTGTAGTAGTCCCTTTGCATAGAGGCAGCTGTTTGGAATTCTTGGTGACAAGGCAGCAAATTTGGTTCAGAATCCATCCATGTAACTGTTACCAATATTTCCAGCAATGCTCTTGGCTTTACAGAAATCTTTAGAAGTGGATAACCACTTAGCTTCTCTTTTTTTATTTAAGCAAAATTAAAAAATGCTCTATTTAAACAAAATGAAGCCTCTAATTTGCAGTATTTTAGAAAGACTGATAGTGGAACCACACTTCCTGTCATGATAGATTAAAGAATAATACAGTGCCCTTGTCAGTATCATCCTTCAGCCTGGGGTACACTGCTAAATTAATCTTGTTAATGATTAGCTGTAGCATCTCAAGACTAGATCCATGGTAAAAACACAGGAGCTGACCTCCTGTCCTGCAAATTGTATCAGTTAAATACAGGCGATAGTTACATGCATGTCTTGTGTTAAATATTGTTCAAAGTGCTGCTGTGTGTAACCCTATGTGATGACTCAAAGGACCTCCTCAAAAATATAGGGAGGCACAGAGACATTTTCTGTCTCTCCACAATAATTAATATTCAGTAGAGCGCCTTTAAATCATAGCAGGAACTTAATAGAGCTGCTGCCTTTTCACTGAATTCATTTGCAACTCAACCTTGTGAGGTGGATAAAGGACTATTTAACCCACACCGATCAGTTCTCCACCATATCACAACTAAATCCCACTTCATGTGAAAATTGCCTTGTGCCTGGCTGGCCATGTCTCATGAACATGTTTGTTAATCTGAACCATGTCAAAGGTGATTGCCACAACCTGTTTAGTTAAAAACTGCAATAACGATCACAGAATCATTATAAAACTCCATGGAACTATAAGATTTAAGATTATGTCTCCTGTAGTGCACAGTAAATTGCAGTAGCCTGCATAGAAAACACAATGTGGTTTGGAGCCAAATAAACAGCCTGAAAAAAGCTTTTCTTAAGCAGGAACAAATTAAGGTTTGAAGGTGCCTGGATTGATTTTTAAAAAATAGTGTTTTATCCTTAAGGGTGGGGGGGGGAGCAAATCTCACTTGGGGACTGCTGCAGGGGCCACTAGAGTCAGTAGATCATGGTCATGAGACAGGGGTATTGACACTTGTGTTCCTGATCTAGGTCAAGTGAGTGGAGCCAGGACCCAAATATCTGGTTTTTGCCAGCACTCCTACTCCCATTACAGGGACCCCCTTTTGATCACGCTAATGCGTCCATTTGGGCAGAGACCACTCCAGAGTATTAAAGTAGTGTTAGCGAATCACAGAGCTTATGGCTTTTCAGAAAATTGATGCCATCATGAGAACATGGTCAGGCCCTGGACAATCTGTCCTGCCCCTGAGAGCACGAGGCAGGGATCAGCTGCCCTATCCCTGCCACAGTTAAGCTGTCATTCTCCTTAAGAACAGCAGCCTTGTCTACAGTAAATTTTTACCAGTTTCACTTTAAGTTGGTTTAAAAAAATCAATTAACTTAAAACAGTGTGGACATGCTTAATTCAGTGTAAACCAGGCTCATATTGTTTTAGCTCAACACCTTACTGAATTAAGCTAACTGGACTGAAATTGTAGAAAGCGTGCCCACGGCGTGTTTGGCACCATTTCAACTCAATCAGTTTTAACCAAAACCTTTAGGTAAACCAGTGAAGTGTTGACTATAGTCAAGGCCCATGTCTCCCACTGACATAGGCACACACATGCCCGCTCTGACTACTCAGAAAGTAGTTTTTCTCACAGCTGCAAAAGATTCAGATGCTACATTTCCTTTGGGCAATGTTGTGAAAGGCTTTTGAAACATTGCTTGGTTTCAAGAAACCCTTCCAGCATTCACAAAAAACAATGCTTATTTTATGCTCCTGAGTGACTAATGTGTGGAGTCTTCCCTAATTGTATTTGTAATGTAAACACAGGCCACTCCAGTTCACTAGTTCCAAGCACCACCACTTCTGACTCTCCAGCTCAAGAGGGTTATGATACTAGGGGACGTATGCTGGATTGGAAGGATCCGGTTGGCTCATCTGAAAACACAGATCCATATGCGGCAGTCTCATCCCATAATCACCAAGACAAGAAGGGTAAGGCCTTGGAAATGAATCCATGTGGTGGTGGGGGAGGAGGGAGTGACTACAGTGTAACTGCTTCCAGCTGAATCATGGTAGCCTGTAACAAAACTCCTGCACTGTAATTAAAAGCTTATTGGAAAGGCGGAAACAAAATAACCAATCTTAGACTTAGTTCTCGATATTCACTGACTAAGGAAACCACACAAAACAAATGTGAGTGAGACTATGTGTGACTGGGGAAGTGTGGATTTAACCCTGTTTAAGCGTGATCTTCATGAGTTAATGATGAGCCACTTCCACTGCTTTACATTATCATTAACACACGGAGCTTCCATGGTGCCTTCCATCCAATGGTTTAAAACCACTCAGCATACTGTAATTAATTTAGCTTCATCGCCCTGTAAGTTAGATAGGGAAACTGAGGCATGTAGAGATTTAGTGGCCATGTTTTTAAATGTATGTATGCACTGAAAGATGCAGAGAAGTGCCAGGTCAGATTTTCAAAATCACCTGGAGCTAGATCCATAAAGGGACTTAGGCATTAGGCGCTTTACCACCTAGTGTAATCCTCAGCCTTGAGTTAGGTGCCCAGGCTTCTTATACAATGCATAGGGAGCGTTAGGCATCTAAAAAGAGATTCTCAGAAGCCAGCAAGCTGAGTGGAGAGCTGCCTATGCTAGCCAATAGGAAATGGTGAGACGGGGGATGCAATTTAGGCCCTGCTGCTCAAAGTTAGTTAGGCATCTAATGCTGGGCCAAAGGGAAGCACCTGGCTCCATTTGGGATTCCAGGTAAACCCTCTCTTGAAGTTAGGAACCTAAGCGAGGCTCGCCATTTTCTCATGAGAGAAAGATCCCCACACCTTTATACCAATAGCCCAGTGATTAGAGCACTCACCGAGACCTGAGGCCAAGTCCTCATTTCAAATCAGGCAGAGTGGGAATTTGAAAACAGGTCTCCTAAGTGACAGGGGAGTGTCTGGGTATTCTAGAACACTCACACCAGCCAGCCTGACCCAAACATTCTTGATCAGGTAGCCCCCAGCTGTCTTCTATATGGGGTCTGACCGGATAGGCATGCTCTGAGAATGCCCTGCAGATGAGATAGATGGAGAATGCCTCACTTGCGCATCCCACCATGGCTCAGGCATGAGCAAGGGCACTGGGCATCAAGGTGGCATCAGGAGTTGAGCAATTTTGCACGTGAACTAGTAGGAACTTAGGTGTTGAGGAAGCATTACTGGCAGAAATGTAGGCACCTGCAGGATTAGGCATCAGCTAAGGGGAGGTTTTGATAATCTCAGTGGCTGTTAAATGTTTGACTTTAGCACCTAAAGTGGCAGTAAGACATGCAAGTCCTTTTGTGAATCTAGCTCTTGGTGCTCAACACCCCCTGAAAACAATGCTTTTTAAAATCCCATTAGGTGCCTATCTGCATCTTTAGGCCCCTGAATACCTTTACAAATCTGGACCTAAGGAACTTGCCCAACATGCAGGAAGACTGCAGCATGAAATATAACTCGGGGACTTCTGATTCCTCATCCTGTGCCTTAAATATAAGAGCATGCTTCCACCAATAAGTAATTGCTGGTTCCTGCAGACCCCATCTTCACATTCATTTCTTTGTCTTAGTTCTTTGATTGGCCCATCTCTTCTCACTCCAATATTATGGTAATAAACATCAGTCAGAACGTCAGAGTTTGGGATTACTCCGAAGTGAAACCCTTGACAAGTGGCTGTAGTAATCCTTCTTGAGCCTGCAAGCTTCTCATACATTGCTGCTGGGCCACCCTGCCTTTATGGGCCTTGTGCTTTGATTTATTTTAAAAGCAATTAGCTCTTGCTATGGTAACAGCTTCAGAAATGTTTGCTTTTCTGTCTGCCATGTACTTAAAGAAAGCAAAACAAAATGACTCAAAATGATAATGCGTGATTTACCTTGAATCCTTAATTCCTCTGGTCAATAAATCTGGCACACTGCAAATGGCAGATAAGTAATTGGCTTCTTTTTGTTCATCTCTCTTGATAATACACACCATTTTGAGCAAGTGCTTCTGTTCCTTGTCTACTACACTACCCCCAAGAGAAAGTGTTGGCCTCCTCCCATCCACTTAGACAGATGTGTTTACCCTTAACTAGGCCTGTATCTGTAATGGGGAAAGAGTAACGCCTGGGGGCTAGCCAGCTCCTCAGCTAGTGGACATTGGTGTAGCTCCATTGATGTCTATGGAGATATGATGAATTACACTAGTGGAGAATCTGGTCATTAATGTGCCAGGGAGGAATGCAGAGGTGTATGTTAATATTAATGGCATTTGTTATGTGTGGTTCCATGCGTCACAACTGTTTTGCACAGCAGTACTCTTAATGGTCAGAAGGCTACTTCTTAAAAGCATCTTGTATGCCAGGAGCAGCTTTCAGAAGAGCGCACAGTGAAAATATTAATAAATGTATAGCTGTTGGGTTGTAAGCCTTTTTGCTTCTAGTCACTGACTGATGAGGTAGCTTGCACTGTATAGTTACCTCCCCAGGGAGCGACGGTTACCAAAGAGTCTTCTTAGCACTTGACAGGGTCATTTAAATATCATGCATTCGTTGGGGCTTAATGATGAATATTGATAAAGCTGGAAGTAGTCTACACACAAACAATGGTGGCAGAGGTGACCGCATGGTTGTTTACCATTACCATGTACTTGTGTGCTATTACTCCTTGCCTTGCCCAATCAGACCCCAGTTAGGTCCAAAATTACTATTGATCCAATATTTTAAAGGGCAAAGGAGTGGGTTGTTATGCAAAATTAAACCAAACAAGGTTACGCTTAATATTCATTTATAAAGTTTTTTGTTTTTGTTTCACTGTGTATTTTTTTCCTTCACACGTTTACAAAAAAAACAAAAATCTCTTTTATGTTTTTAACATTTTCCTTTTGTTTTGCAAAGTGCTGTGTGGTGTGGTTGTGTTTATTCCTTTGGAAGGTGTTTTCTTTCTTTTCCTGCACTCACAAACGACTTCACTCTAATTCTACTGAAACCACTTGCTACTTTATTTTCTGTGACACTGGTGCCTTGATGATGTCACATCCATATGTTCAGCTGTTAATTCAGCACAGGCATCTTGGGGAATATCTGCGGGGGTGCAAAGAGGGGGTTCTTTAAATGGGTTGACTCATGGGAATGTGACATTTGTGTGCCGCAGCTTTAGTAGCTAAATATACTCTGGAATTGTTGTTTCTGAGATACCTCACATTTCTTGCCAAAATGAAAATGTGTAGTGCACTTCATAGAGTAGGGCTGTTTGTTGCCATCCCAATGACCTTTTCATTTTGGCCACTGAATAATCTGTCATTGATATTGCAGAATGAAAAATTAATTGCGATTGGCAAACTCCACCATTTTTTCTTCTCCCAGCCCTCTACAAAAAGAACACATTTCCAGAGTGTGCTTTTGTTTGTTTTTTCTTGCTGTGTTTTAATTTAATTCTGTGTGTTTCTCACCTTTGTCAAAACAGTAGCTCCTCACCTTGCAGTCTAACCTTCCCTTCTGCTGCCATTGTACTTAGTCTCCCTCCCTCCAGTAATAAAACCAAGCTCCTTGTGTGGAATATTCCAAGGCTTTACCCTGTTCACTTTGAATCGTACGACAGTGCTGTATCTATGTATGGTCCTACTAACAAAATGGGGAGTAGATACATAAATCTACTAGAGGGTATAAATGAAGAAAATGAAGTAATTTTCTTCAACCGTAACTGACCTTGCCCTTCATTACCCTACTGGCCCTTGTCTACTGTCTTCTGTCCTTGCTGCCTTTCTTTAGAAATGCCTGATATCTTTCAAGTCCTAGATTCATTAACACAAACACAGAAAACACTCTGTTTTCTCTCTCACTTGCTAGATGGCTGGAGCCGACCCTTTAATCACATTGATAAATTAGATGCAGTCGTGGCTTCTACTTTCTTGGTTTTGCCAGTTTTTATTCTGTCTAATTCAAGCAATAGAGGAGTTAACTGCTTAGTCCACTGAAAGATTAAAGTCCAGGGGTTATTTTTAGCAGTTTTAATATTTGTCTCTTGCATGGTTAGGTGACCCTGACACCCTTCCTCTCTTAACAAACTTTTTGTTCAGTGTCTACAACACAATAATAGTACAAAGCTGATTCAAAATAAGAGGTGAGGTGTACAAATGACAAGAGTAGCCAGTACATTAATTAGGCTGTCAGGGATGCAACTGTAAATATTATATATGTTGGAACCTCCTTTTTTTCAGCCTCTCTTAACAATATTTGCAAACCTGTCTCTGTCACACAGTTTCTGTGCACCATTCTGAAGTAGGCAGCTAATAGACACAGGGAGGGCAAAGATTTTACATTTCAAGAGTCTGTGTAAAAGAAAACATTTCCTTTTGCAGGAATAAGGTAGTGCTGTTACTATTATTACTACTATTTGAATGATTTGCTGAATGTTGACACTATACTTAGCCTGGGGAGTTCACAAAAATAAAGCCAGACTCTGCTCCAAAGAGCCAAAATTATGTGAGGTTTCAGGTATTATCATGATAGGAGGGATTGAGAAGGTAGAAATCCAACTGGGGTTTTAATGGTTATTTACTGAAATCCTGTTCACATTGAACTGAAATGAAAACAATAACAACCTACAGTAAAGATGGAGGCTCAGCTTCATTTTGTATAAATTGAGGCTAATGACGCTGTACCCCTTAGCAGCATGGGTGAATTTGGCCCAGAGAGTACATTTAAATTTACTCTATCTATTTTTACATGAATTTATTTTGATTTATTCAAGGTATGGAAGGATTCCAAACATGTTTACAAAAGAGCGGTAGGGGAATTCCTTATTATCCTGCTGCCATTTTGTAATAACTCAGAAGTGGATTCTGTGTAGCACAGAATTTGTCCAGATCATCCTTTGAGTTCAGTGTTGTCTTTTCAATTTCCAAGGTCAACAAAATATTCCTTAGCCAGTCATAGTTATGGGAATATCAGAAGTGACTGACCCTTGCT